TCTGCCCTCTGGCTTCCCTCAGTTCTGTTTTCCTCTGTGCTGGCCCCCATCTCAAGCAGCCACCCCCAGCTTCAGGCTGACATCCATATAACTCCAAGTCTAGGAGGAAAGAAAGGTTTTATTCCCTCTCATGAAAATCCCAGCAATTCCCATAAAAGTCCCAGAAGTCACCTAACTAAAACAGTTGAGTTACATACCCATTCCTGAACCAATTGCTGGGAAAAAAGGAGATGGAAATGCATTGATTAGCCTGGAGCCCATGGAGGGATCAGCCCCATCTGAATTATGTGGGTTGACAATGTGAAAGGATGAGTCCCCTCAAAAAAATCTAGGTGCTGTTACTAGATGAAGGGATGTTAATTGCAAGCCCAAACAGCGGTATCTATTGCATGGTCCAAGACTGAAAATGACATGACTCCCTGCCTAATCAGGACCTGATGGAATCCATATTATAGAGAGTGACAGTAAAGACCCTTATGTGCCCCCTAACGGTTATAAGGAAGGGTTATTCAATTGTATTCGTCCAACAAGTAGATATTGAGTGTATACAGTACACCAGAAACTCTGCCACCTGATGGAAATACGAATTTCAATAAAATACAATCCTTGCCCTCAAAGAGCTCCTGGGGGCAAGAACATTAACACAAAATTACAAGTTACTGTCCTACATATTCTAAAAGAGGTATGTAGAAAGTGCTGTGTAACATTTGTCTTGAATTATACTGGTCATTGAATCTACTTTTCTAGATCAATTCTACACTTTTCTAGATCAATTCTGAACTTATTTTTTCTAGATATTTCTATTTCAAAATAGCAAAAACCTAGTCTTTTTAATGAGAATTATATTAAATAAATAGCCAGGCTTTAGGACCTAAAGTTCAAAGTCTATACTGTCACATCCTTGTTCCACTGTCAATCATCATTTAAGATGAGATGCATGAATGGCATTCTAAGACTGTGTGAAAGGTGACCTTGAAAGTAGTTCTTTTTTGTTTTCCAAACAAAATAATAAATGCCTCAGGGAGATAACTGTCACACATTCTTTGCCACAAACAGCCAACAATTTGCAATCCCATCTGCCATTCAAAATTCTACAGAACTCCCCTGTAAGGACTCCAGGTAGTGCCAGGTAAGTACAAGTGGGGAGCAGAGGGTCGTGTCAGCAGAAGTAAAAGCCTGGATGGACTTTACTAACAAAAGTGATTCATTCCTCCTAAATGTGTAACACCTTCAGAAAGCATAGGAAGTCGAATGAAATATAATAAAAAAGAGGACTTTGTTCATGAGTGCAATTTGAGAGTATTCCTAACATGAACTCAAATCTGTTTTCTTTTTCCCCTTGACTAGAAATTCATGCAAGGTAGAAAGTGAACGTTTAAGAAAGTTTTTTTTAAAACATGGAAACTACTCTTTACTTTCATTCAAGAAACAGTGATTGAGTACCTACAGTGTGCCCCATGTCACACCAGGCAATGTTTATGCACAAATGAATGTTTCACAGTACTTGTCCTTGCCTCACTGTCTATGGGGGGAGATAAGGACATAAAAAAAATAGTTACAGCATTATGTCATTCATGCTACAACAGGCTTTTGCAATGTGCTGGTAGAAAGAGGGAGGAGGGTTATGTTTAAGTGGAGGCTTCAAAGGTGCCTTGTAGTTTACTATGTTGATGAGGTCAAGGAGGGTTCGTGCAGCAGAGAGAAAGAAATGAAGGTATGAAGAGTATGTCATGAATAGGGAACTTCAGGAAGCTCACAGGGTCAGAGGGAAGTCATTGACAGCTTTTGAACAAGGGAGTGGCCTGATCAAAAGTTGTGCCTCTGAAAAAATCCTTCTGGCAATGTTATGGAGGATTAGACTGGAGAAGGGAAGAGTTTGGAAGTAGGAACACCAGCGAGGGGACTCCTGTGGGCTTTGGGACATGAGGAGAGACTAGCCAGTGATGGCGAACCTTTTGAGCTTGGCGTGTCAGCATTTTGAAAAACCCTAACTTAACTCTGGTGCCGTGTCACATATAGAAATTTTTGATATTTGCAACCATAGTAAAACAAAGGCTTATATTTTTGATATTTATTTTATATATTTAAATGCCATTTAACAAAGAAAAATCAACCAAAAAAATGAGTTCGCGTGTCACCTCTGACACGCGTGTCATAGGTTCGCCATCACTGGACTAGACTAAGGCAACGAGGCTGGAGCAATGAGGGCATGGCGATTAGTTGCTAATACAGCAGAAATGACAGGACCTGGGAATGGGTGGAACGAGGTGAAGGAGAGGGAAATGTCGGGCCTGATTCCCTAGCTGGGCTGGCTTCAAAAGGCATGTGATCTGTGCAGTCTCCCAGGGTTCTACTGACGCCATAGTAAAATCATTAATTTTTGAACAATGGGTCCCCTATGCTCGATTTCATTTTGCACTGTGCCCTACAAATCCTATAGCCAGTCCTGTTCCCAGGTTCCTGCCTTGAGCTAAGCGGTGGATCGCAGTGCCAGTAATTGAAATTGGAAACAGATGAACACAGTCTGTTTCATGAGGGGTGAATGAAGAGATGAGTTCCGTTTTATAACACATGTCCTATGGGTCCTCAAAGTAGGGATATTCAGTAGGCTGTAAGAAATTGAATGTAAATTCCAAGCAAGGTACATGCTAGAGTTACAGATGGGGGGAGGACCAAGACCAAGGTGGTGGAGACCCTGGATGTGGATGCAAGTGTGCAGAGGGAAAAGAAGCTGGAGAGAGAACCCTGGGGAGCAGCAAAGTTTGAGGATCAGAGAAGGGAAAGAGAAATGGAAGAGGAGGAGTCAGAGTCCTGTGGGAATTGTGTCCTGGAAGCCACTTAAATCTATTTCAAAATAGCAAAACCTAGTCTTTTTAATGAGAATTATATTAAATAAACAGCCAGGTTTTAGGACCTAGAGTTCGAAGTCCTCTCGGGAAGGAGGGAGTGACCCCGTAAAACATATGCCGCAAAGAGATCCGAGAGGATAATGCCCATTGCATTTGGCAACTACTGAGACCACTGGTGAGCTGGAAGGCATTAGAATAGGAAGAAGGAAAAAGCAGAGGCAACAGTAAGCGCAGATGAGCCTTCCAAGAACCTGGCTATGAAGGCAAAGGGAGGAAAGGAGGAGAGTAGAAGGTATGTAGGATAAAGGCAGGTTTGTGTGTGAGGACACTACTCTCCGGTGAGATGAGGGCACACACTTCCAGGACAGAAGTCCAAAAGATAAAGGTGGGGATAAAGATGGACAAATGCATGGATGGAGTGGGCAGAAGGTGAATGTCATACATGCTCCCTCTGCACACATAGATGCAAAAACAGCAACAAAAACCAACAACATATCTCATTTTCTTAGCAGTGTTGTTTACTACTGAGTGAGGTCAGGGGGGCAGGGGGGCTTTAGCCGAGTGTTGAAGGTGAGGAACTCTTGGCCCCTTGGAGAGGACACTGACCAGGGACAGGAATAACTGCCATGTGGCCAGGAGGGCTCAGCTGCTGTGAGGGCCGAGGCCAGTCTGGGGAAAGAGGCAGAGCCATGCTTGCAATCTGTATGGATGAAAACCTGGACAGGGGGGAAAGTTTTGCCTTTTAATATTTTTCTTTTCATGAAGCTCTGAAGACCCGGCATTGCAACCTTAGACCCCCCACAACAGCACCTGCTTTCTCGGCGCTCTTGGGGCTGCCCAGCCCGCACCTAGGATCCTGAGCAAGTCAGAGGCTGCAGCAGGGCAAGTGCTGATTTGGTGAATAATTAATGCATCGCCGAGACCTGAGGCTCCTGCCTCCCTTGGTGGAAAGCATGTTTATAAACTCATAAAGTAGCTTACTGTATGGTCTAATGATTAAACTTTCCTGGGCCCTATTTCATTACAGCTAAGTTAAAAACTGACCAGCTGGCCACATAAACCTTCCTGGGGTGATTAATTAGAAAATAAGCAAAATCTCCTAACAGTTAGGACCTAGCTGGACTAACAACTCATTCCAAGCACTTTTGCCCAGGGCGGGGATGGGGTGGGGTGGGGGGGTGGGTGGGGGGTCAAGAAACCTTAAGCCTTGACTCCATCCATGAAGGCAGCAGAATTGGGCTAATTCGGGGAAAAGGTGCCTTTCTTCCCTCTCCAACCCCCAGGCGAAGAGTGAGCTTCCATTTACCCCTGTTTAACCAGACCGGTCACACGTGGTGTCATTTGAGAGCCTTCATTAAAGACCCTCTCTCCACCTCATTATGGCCCACGTGGTGCTTTAGTTAAAGCTGTGGGGAAGTGCGTCTCCTGAGAGACCTCCAGCTCCGTGGCTGAATCATCCCTGTCAAGGTGAGATGGGTAAAGGCGTCGCTTAACAAAAGTGTCCTTGGAGAAATTATCTGAATGAGAGCCATCGTCTAGATATAGGTAAGGAGTACATTTTAAAAAACCCGAACCAGATGGGTGGCCACCTGGGCAGGTCCTGGGTAAATGTGTGCGCAAAGGCAGCGTCGTGAAGGGCAGTCTCCTTCCCTCGGACGAAGACAGATATCCCGCCTGGCCCCAGCTCAGTGATACCGACTCCAGACGGTTCTCTTCTTTCTCAGGAATTGGCCTGACCAGTCGACCCTTTGCAAAGGTTTAACCCGCCTTTCCCCAAAGCTCAGTGCCTTGGGCACCTTTTAGTGACTCACTCCTTACAAATGTAAATTGCACAAGTGCGCGGGAGGTCCCGACCACCTCCCCTCCCCCCCAAGCCTGGCGACCTGAACACCCACCTCCGGGACCAGCCCGCGCGCAGCGCACCCCCTGCGCACCGCTGGGGCGCACACCCGGCGGCAGTCCCGTCGCCCCTCACCGGGCACTGGACGGGCCGAAATCCTGCAGCGACCGCAGGCGCGTCCTTTAAAACAAAAGCGCCCCCGAAGGGTGGGACCGCACCCCCTCCTGGCCAAGCAGTGGCCTCCCGTTGCCCTCCCCCTCCGCTGGCTCGCAAATTGCGCATGAGCACAGGCGCCTCCCTTGGTTCCTCCCAAGGCTAAACTTTCTAATTCCCTTCTTTGGCTGAGGCTGCCGGCCGCCGGGAGAGCGCTCGCACCGCCGGGTGAGCTGAACAAAGTGGCTGCGCGATTTCCCCCTCCTCACCCTCCCACCCCCCGCTTCCGTGGGAGAGGCAGGAAATGGAAGGGCCCCTCTCCTCTGTCTGAACATTTGCCTTTTCCCCCCACTCCACCTCTCCAGAAAGGACCACGGGAAGACAGGGCAGGCGGCTCGGTGATCGCTCCTCCGCCGGGTCCCCTCGGCTCAAGGGACTGGACATGGGGCTGCTCCAGGTGCTCGCTTTCTGTGTCTTAGGTAATTCCGAGGAAACGGTGGGGGAAGGGGTGCGCTTGGAGGTGGGCGACGAACACCCCCTGGCCGTTTGACCCAGCTTCGAGGGCGCCTGGGGGATCGGGAGAGGGGCTGGAGTGGAGTGGAAATGACCCCCTAGCCCAGGGTTAAATGCCAGCGCCCTCGGCGGCGGCTGAAGACGGCGCACGAGGATCATCGCCGACTGGCATCCCCTGGGCTCCGGGTCCAGGGCGGCGGATCCCGTGGTCGCTGCGCGGGACTTTACACCTTCGGCGCGTCCCTGCTGGGGCTCTCCACCGCGGGGCAGGCTCCCTGGGGCGGCAGGGCCAGCCGCGGAGGGCTCCCCGGGAACCCATTTCCCAGGAAACTGCCCCAGCTGAGCGCAGGCTTCATCCTGGGAACAGATTGGGGCCATGTGGCTTTCATTACCGGCGCTGTCTGCCCCCGGATGGCGCCAGAACAGCTGGACTCGGAGCTTCCCCGGAATGGCGAAGCGTTGAAGCCGCTCCAAAGCCTCAGGGATTGTCCGCTCGCCCCTGGCTCGGGGAAAGCGGGGTCCCCCGCGAGCCCGTCACCTCGCCCCTCAAACCAGGGGTCTCTGCGCATGCACGCACACACATGCACGCACTCTTCTGTGACCCCACGATCACAGGTTTCCGCGCGCGCACACTCGCACTCACTGCGAGGATGCACGGGCTGCCACGTGCACGCGGGTTCACACACACTCCAGCGCAGATGCCCGCTTCTCTGTGCCTAAGTCCAGTCACCTCGCAGTGGTGGGTTTGCACATCTATCTTTTGTGCCCGGGACAGGTCAGGGTGGACGCGATGCCCTTGGCCGCTGGACAAACCTGGGACTGTGTGTGTTTTATACGACTCCTCCTTCCCCACGCTCACCTCTCCATTGTGTGTCTGTTCTATGCATGCTGCTTTCATCTAAACCTACTCTATCTCTGCCCCCTGCTTGTTCCTTTTGCTCGGGCTCGCTGCCTACTCCGAATCCCCCACCCCACCTCTCCACCCCTCCACCTGCCCCTTCCGCAGCCGTGTTCGGAATCCGAGTGCGCGCTCAAGAACCGGAGTTTAGCTACGGCTGCGCGGAGGGCAGTTGCTACCCAGCCACCGGCGACCTTCTCATCGGCAGGGCACAGCGGCTTTCGGTGACCTCGACGTGCGGGCTGCACACGCCCGAGCCGTACTGCATCGTTAGCCACCTCCAGGTGAGGGCGGAGAGCCGGCCAGTCGCTCTGCGCGCGCCTCCTCCAGTCCAGACCAAAGGGGCAGGCCCCGGGGACTCCACATCCTGCCAGCGATCCAGATAGGAAGCCCGGCCAGCCAGGGAGGCCCCGGATTCGGCTGGTAGCTCACCCTTTAGCCCCATCTCAGTTTGCACAGTTGCATCCGCCAAACATTTCCTGCCGCCACCGCTGCCGGCACAGGCATGATAGAGAGGCAGAGCTGCAGACAGACCTGGCCCCTGCCCCGCGCCCGGAACCCAGGGGTTCCAGGAGTGAGGGAGTGGTTTAATCTTTCCCCTTTGGAAAATGTGTATAAAAAGAGGTTTACCCTCTTATTTTCTTTCTTCTTTTTTTGAATAATGTAGTGATTTGGGATTTTCTATTTTTCAAACCTTGCACTTGGATGAAGGATATTCCAGCACTTGACAGACACCTTGTAAGGTCTCTTAAATCATCGGCCCTGTTTTCCTCGCCTCATTTGGTGCTGTTCTCCCACCTACCTTTATTAGCTATCAGGTTCAGATGCTTTCTTTTTCAAAATGCGCTGGTTGCCATGGTACCGTGAGGACCTACGTGAAATTTCGGGGTGTTTTCTGTTTCTAAAAGTAGAACCAGATTTTAGATGTCAGAAGTCACATTTTTACAAAATCAAAACCAATTTTTAAAAGAAGACAAAGTGTAAACTGTCCAGAATGAGAATCCCTTTCCTCGATTTTTAAAAAGGAGACTGATATCTTTGGTCTCTGGAGCAAGCAGAAAGTGGGTCTCACAGGTGGGGCCAGTTCCAAGTCAATTGCTCTAATTTTGGTCGCTCCACCCACCTGTACACCGGCCCTCCAGGAGCAGGACAGAGGGTGGCATACCTACACGTTAGATTCCTTAGGCTGGAGTCACCTTTCCACAGCAGAAGGAGAGCCCATTCTGGAGACCTGATAAATTAAACCAAAGGAATGTGGTAAAGTGGATTCCACTCGTTTGCTTCCAGGTTTGTGCAGAGATGTCTAGACTGCTTCCTCCTGATTAAAAGGGAGGCTATAATTAACCTTTTTGTAAGTTCTGGTAATTGTTCTTCAGTATTCGTGTCCTTGACTACAAGTTAATGAAGACAAATGTTACTTTTTCTATTATTGGCATATAAATTTTACCTAGAATCTTATGCCAACCTTTATCTCAGAGGCCTGGACATCCTGTACATGAATCCCCCGATTCTGAAACCAGCTTTGACCAGAAGGAGAATTGGACCATTTGTGTTGAAAGCAAGTAGCGCTGGACTCTGGTTCACATGACTACCCAAGAAATGGTGGAGCGCTCTCCACATATCAGAGCCCAAAGAAAGAGCCTGGGTGTGCACTTTTCTCAGGCATTTAGTGGGTGTAAACTTAAATGAGTCAGGAAGCTTATGTGTTTTGTTCAGGGTCTTATTGCATTCCTCACTTCTGCGCTCTGTAAGTTAGTTCATTAGTGCATCTTGCCAGGTTCTAAATCCTCTTGGGAGGAAGGAGATAAATTGTAAAAGTACATTCAGTTGATATTGTCCTCATAGGAACATCACCTTTGCTTAAATGTTATTTGTAAGATGTGTGTGTGGGTCTCTATAGATTTCAGTCTTAAGGCATCATTTCCAGACTTAAGGTTAATTTGCATTTCAGAAAACTTAGGTAGAGAGCAGAGCCCCGTGTGGAGAAGGGAACGATTAAGTTTGGCTCTTGATGATTTGCCCTGCTGGAGGACAAAGAGGGGATTTTGGAACTTTCCTGACCCAGTGCCAGAGTGGCTGTGGCCCCCATTTTAGGGAGAAGGAAAGTGAGAAGAGAGCAGTTCGAAGCTACTCTAAGACCTAAAGTATGCCTCAATTCCAGTCCAGGTCCACTTTGGTGTTCTTTGAGTTGGTCACAGTTTATAGTGCTCCCAACACAGTAGGGCAGCCTGGTACCCCCCTCCCCAGATATCCTGAGAAGTTGGTAGTCTGCAGGCCACCGCTACTGGTTCACAGCTTGGGCAGAGTAGAAGCTAAGAAATCTTATTCTGTAGTTCCTAAAGGTTCTTCAATACCTCTGCCTAATACTTGGTTTCTGCCTAATGTAGGTTTTAGAAAATAAGGGTCAAATGAATTGTGTGTTTTTTTCCCCCTTTTGTTTTCAGTTTGCTTTATGTTAGCAAAAATTCTGAGACCTCTTCTGCATTTTTCCTTGAAGACTAAGCTCCTCTAGCTATTTACTGAGATTAAGCCGTAAGCCTAGAAATTTCATTTTAATTACATTAATAGCTGGTGGGAACAATGCTTTCTTTTACTTTTGACCTTGAATTTGCAAGAGAGGAGGAAATTTTCAGAATTTCATACTCAGTAAATTGAAGTGAAAGGCATGTGATATGTCATTTAAGTAATTGTGGCACATTCATTTTTCTTGAAGCGAGCAGGTTTGATTTTTGTATTGTGGGCTTGATTTTTATTGTGTCAGAGAGAGAGAGAGAGAGAGAGAGAGAGAGAGAGAGAGAGAGAGAGAGAGATTGTTTCCTAGACTCATGAAACTCACTTTGCTTTCAGGAGGACAAAAAATGCTTCATTTGCAATTCTCAAGATCCTTATCATGAGACCCTCAATCCTGACAGTCATCTCATTGAAAATGTGGTCACTACATTTGCTCCAAACCGCCTTAAGATTTGGTGGCAATCTGAAAATGGTATGTGGTTGGTGTGGGAACAAGTCTGTGGAATGTGATTGAAAGGGGTTTACAGACTCCTGGGTGTTTATAATTACGATGGTTCCTCTGTCCTGTGATCACGGCCTTTGACAGATTTACTGCCCGAAGCACTAACTTCTCATGCACTTCCTACCAGAAAGCAGTCTTTCATGCTAGACCAAAGAATTTCGTAGTCCTCATTCTGAGGGGGCCTTTGGGGCGTGTGTGCAGGTGCTGAGGAGGGCGTGGGAAGGCCCTGTACTATCTCAGGCCCTTCTTCCACAAAAATGTAGCATCTTTCATTTTGGTCAATCCCAAATGAAAGGGCAGAATCAGCCCCCACCACTATCACCACCTTCCTTCTATTGAAACAAAACTTAATAATTGTGCTGTAAATAAGCACTGGATGTGGTTTTTCAAAGACTCGGTCGACATGAATATACCCAAGTCAGTTTCCCCAGTGAGTGTGTCCCTTTCAATCCTTTGTCCCTTCTTTGCCTTTTGGATTTTGGTTTAATAAATTCATCAGATATAATGTTATTATTGCTGTGGACTTAAGCCAAAATTAGTTTTGCATTTGTTTCAAGCTTGAATGTGAACTTTGGGGAATAGAGGTAGAGTTATGATGTTCGTAATTCATTAGATTTAAAAAAAAATGATGAGAGCCCTAACCGGTTTGGCTCAGTGGATAGAGTGTTGGCCTGCGGACTGAAGGGTCCCAGGTTCGATTCAGGTCAAGGGCATGTACCTTGGTTGTGGGCACATCCCCAGTAGGGGGTGTGCAGAAGACAGCTGATGATGTTTCTCTCTCATCGATGTTTCTAACTCTCAATCCCTTTCCCTTCCTCTCTAAAAAATTAATAAAATATATATTTTTTAAAAATATGAGAAAGAGCTTTCAGGAATGAACCTGAGCCTGGCCATAGAAAGCATTGACACTACTAGATCTCATTATCACATGCCCTACACCTGAGAAGTTTGTGGATGCTGGCAGTCCTTCATCATTCTGTAAAGAAGAACTCCTAGTAGACTTCCTCATCATCCACTATAAAATCCCACATGCTTTCTAGAAGATTGTTGGTTTCTGAGGACGGTTGGCTATTCACTGGTTGGCCTTAGGATGCCATTGGTTACCAGCTTGATTGAGATAGACTGGTCCGCAGAGAGCACGCATCAGTCAGAGCCTCGTTAATTCTGATAGGAGGATGTCTTGGTTGATCAAGGTGAAAGAGAAGTTTCTGTAAATCTGTTCCTGAATCACAAAGGACTTCTGGAACAGCACAAGCTCATGAGTAGACTGTGAGCATTTCCTGACGGCTCACGTTCTCCAGTGAAATGGAGAGACGGAGGAAGGATGCCTGAGCGTTAGAATGGGGACCGTTCCCATTTTAGGTGATAGACAGTAAAATAGTTCATCAAGGTCAGCAAAGGTCTCCTTTGCTAACATTCCATCTGAAAGGAAATGTCCAGAACAGGTGCTGTAGTTCTAGAGGAGGGGTTTTTCTTGGTAACATCAGGAGTTTAAAAATTTCTACGGTTTTTAATTTGTGTGGCAAGAGAGGCCAAATGCCAGAAAGGAGGTGTTTCTCAATTAGATTCCTCTGTCACTCTGACACAAGATTAGATGGCACGAGACTGATGGAACGTGGTCTTTAGAAAGCCAGACCGATTGTTACTGTCCCCTGTCATCTCTCTGTTGTCTGATAGTTGACAATTAAGGACTTCCTTTGTAAATGTGATTTTATCTGTTTTCTGTCCAAAATGAGCTTTACATGAAGGCATTAAATGATCAGTTCTCAGGCATAGAATCAGGCTCGGCATGTACAGCTACTTTTAACTTACCCTCCAAGGTGATCCATTCCTGGGTCTGACAGAAATCAGATACCCTGTGGAAGATGACCTTGTCTCTTTTCTCCATGGATTTTTCTTCCCATATTAAAAACAAAAACAAAACAACTGTAGTGCTTTATTAGGTTATAAATCTAAAATGGAATGTGCTTTTAGGCCACACATTGCAGCACATGGTCTTATGTTGCAGAAATGGCACCAGTCTTGTTGGTATTTATGTTATTTCGTTATCTCCTCACTTTGAACAAATATTGCGAGTTTTTAAAAGCCTGGGAGAAGGGAGACATGTGGTGACTTGGCTAACATTTCATCTGAAAGGAAATGTCCAGAACAGGTTTATAATGTGGTTCTTTTTAAGAATTGAGATAAAGTTAGTATAACTATAATGTTTTTCTTTAACCTCCCACCTAACGCACATCCATCCCAGTGGCCACGTTCCCCTCCCCCCAGTTGACATGGTAGAGTTTCAGCACGAGAGTTTATTTCAAAAGTCCTGCTGGTTTCCTGAAAATACACCAGCGCCAGTGCCATGATTCATTCCGACACATTCCTGTCTTCTTGCACTTAAGGCTTCTTTTGCTCTGGAAGGTGGACCCCCAAAGCTCTCTCAAGTGTAGGAAAGGTGGAAAGGTCTCCTAGGGCTGGGGTGGCAGGCCTTTTCCATCTCTGGAATCCCAGTGGTTTTCCAGTGTGTGAAAGCCGCTCTGATGGACCCTGGGGCCTGGTGCAAAGACTCATGTGTTTGTGCAGGCTCTCCCCTGGAAAGGGGAGATGTTGGTATTTGTCTGGGCTCGTTTGTTTACTGGACCGATCCTTTGTCTCTTTGGCGTTGTTTTCCAGTTGTGGAAATGCATCCAAAGCCTTCTCCATCAGGGCTGGGTTTTTCTAAATTGGAGTATGACTAACATATGTGGTAGATTCAGTTCTTTTCCTTGCTGCTACGTAGAGAAAAGGGAGTATTTGTGTTTCTTCTGAAGGCGGATTGTGCCCTTGCGCTTTAGACTGCAAGCCCAGTCCCTGCTGTGCACAGGAAGTGCCCCTCTCCTTCCCCTTGGAGAGCCTCTTGGCTTAGAGGGGTGGGGAGATGTTTCCTAAGAAAAGATGTCCTTGATGCAGCAGGAGGCACTCTGCCAGATGCCTTATTCCCGGGAACAGATTCCACATGCTGAGCTCCAGAAGGGTGTGTGGGAGACGAGGATCCTTGGACTTGGGCTTTACCACCTGAATTTTTTTAAAAAAAATATTTTTATTGATTTCAGAGAGGAAGGGAGAGGGAGAGAGAAGTAGAAACATCAATGATGAGAGAGAATCATTGATCGGCTGCCTCCTGCATGCCCCCTACTGGGGATCGAGCCCACAACTCGGGCATGTGCCCTGACCGGGAATCGAACCGTGACCTCCTCCTGGTTCATAGGTTGATGCTCAACCACTGAGCCACGCCAGCGGGTGGGGCAGAGGCTTATTGTCGTCTTGTCTGCACCTTCAGGTTAAGGTAGAAGGCAAAGAGGCTTTCTGTGAGAAGCGTAAAGATAACTTAATGGGCCCTGACTGGTTTGGCTCAGTGGATAGAGCGTTGGCCTGCAGACTGAAAGGTCCCAGGTTCGATTCCAGTCAAGGGCATGTACCTTGGTTGCGGGCACATCCCCAGTGGGAGGGTGTGCAGGAGGCAGCTGATCGATGTTTCTCTCTCATCGATGTTTCTAACTCTCTATTCCTCTCCCTTCCCCTCTGTAAAAAATCAATAAAATATATTTTAAAAAAATAACTTAATGGTCTCAATTGTTCACAGATATGCCTGTTTACCTTGCTGTTTCCTTTTTATTTAAAAATATCCATAGGCGTGGAAAATGTAACCATCCAACTGGATTTGGAAGCAGAATTCCATTTTACTCATCTCATAATGACCTTCAAGGTAAGGAATCCATAACTTTCTCACAAATGACACGTGAAAGCACCGTATACTCCCACTTTCAAAACAGATGCCTGTTGCGAATTGACCTAAATGGGCACTTACATATGATTGTTGCTATAAATTGGGATAGTTGAGCAGGTTTTTAAACAAGGGCATGGATATGCTTAAATACTCTACACAGCAATAAGCAGAGAAAGCCACTATTCTAAGGTACTCCCACTGTAAACTTTTAACTAGGTATCTTTTTCTTTCCCTGGGGAGAGAGAGGCAGCTCTGATTCTCCCAACCGCAATAAAACATCTGGAGGGTAACTCCCTGATCGCTTGTGTTGATGATTTAATGCTGAGTTTGGTAACTGGAAAGGAAGTGTATATCTTTCGTTTCCAGGTTTGCAGAGTTGTGGGCACAGTGTACAGTTCCCTTACGAAATGTGCAGGCCTTCTTAAGCGTGGATTTTCTCATTCTTTTTCTTTTCGAGATGTAAAATGACTCCGGACCAGGGAATGCCTCTGTACAAAGTCCCTTTGTTCCCTCCTCAGCAGCTGCCTGGAAATGACAGACTTCACATGGCTTAGAGTACACGTTGGTTCACACAAAACCCATAATTTACTTATTACTTCTCCGATTAAAATCACCTGTGAATAGTTTTCAGTGGGAGTCGGGGGCCTTATCTATCCCCTCTCGGGTTCGGAGAAGGTGCCAGGGTAGATTGACCATGTGGGCAGGTGGCCATGAAAGTCTCGCTTGTGTCCTCTCCTGAAGCCTGGGAGGTGGGGGCAGGGGCGGGCGAGGAGGTCAGAATGTGACCGGGAGGTACTGGGCTGCTCATTCCCTGCTGTTACTGCTGACCGTTTACACTGTGACACCTGATACCGCGAGGGTGGGGAGGGCTTCCACGAAACACCTTCTTCACTTACTCCTTGTCCCTTCATTGATCACACACTCAACCTGGCAGTTGAAATGAACACTCAGCTACGCATGAGGGTATTGCCTTCATGTTATGTGACACCTGAATATACTCAGTCATCTTTATTAATGTTTATGGTCCTATCTTTTACTTTGGAAGAGGCTTCTGTTTACATACATGGGTAGTTCTGAGATTTTTTTTGTTATCTAAAAGTCCTTGGGGCACATATTCTGTAGTTGAAACTCATTCACGTGAACCCAGTGGGCCAAGGATGAAATTCTGCACCAAAGTGCAGGAGGTCAAATGGAGGAGGTGGTGATTTAATAACTGAGATGTGAAGAATGGGTGCAAGTTGTCAGACTTTATGAGAGAGAACTCATCCTTTTGGTTCTAGCTCATGTGTAAACAGCAACATCTATGTGGGGTTGGACAAACTTGGGTGTGAATCCCCATCCTGCCCCTTCCTGGCATGTGTGGCCAGAGCTTTGGCTTCCCCCTTGGTCAAGTGGAACAATAACAACACCTGTGTTATGAGGTTGTGTGACATACCCCTCGGTTCTGGTTATAGGGGTAATCTTGCTACCCGGGCCCATAGTGGGAATGTGATCATTTGTATATATGCTAATGCTTGGCACATAATTGCTCTACAAATATTTACTGAAAAGTGAATAAGTGAATGAAACCAGCCATCTTGTGTTTGTGAGAAATTGGTCCAGGCTTCATGGGATTTTGAAAAAAAAATTTTTTTTAATTGATTTTTAGAGAGAGAGAGGAAGAGAGAGGGAGAAAGAGAGAGAAACATTGACATGAGAGTGAAACATCGAGCAACTGCCTCCTACACAACATCTACTGTAGATGGAGATCTGAAACCCGGGCATGTGCCCTGACCAGGAATCGAACTGGCACCCTTTCAGTGCACGGGCTGATGCCCAACCAACTGAGCCATCCCGGCCAGGGCTTTATAAAGATAGAGGAGTTACTGCCCACCCAGAGCTTCCAGGCTTCTAGGGAAGAAACATACTTACAAATAACTTCTAATACAAGACAGAATATGCCAACTGCCATAGCAGAAGTTCAGATCATGTACATTAGCATGGAGGCGTGGGAGAGTAACTTGAGCCTGGGATAGGAGAGAAAGCTTCATGGGGAGAGGACTGGGGCTGCACTGGACCTGGGCCAGGGGGATTGAGCAGCATTTCAGTGGGAGGAGGTGGGAGCAAAGCCCTTCTGGGCAGAGGAAACAGTCTGAGAACAAGGCCCTGCTGGTGGGACTCTCCTGGCAAGGCTTGTTCAGCACGTACAGTGCAGATTTGCTGTGGGCCGTGAGGGGAGGAAGGGAAGTAAGATGACAGAAGGACCTTGACTCCTTGCTGAGGAATGTGAACTTCATAGGAAATAGGGAACAATTGACAAGGAATTGAGACCTGTGTTTCAGGGAGGGAGTCAAGCGGAAATGGCGAAGGAGAGCCTGGGACAACCTTGGGGGCTTCTTGTTGAGGTCAGTGTTGAGGAAGGGCTGACTGACGAGAGGGCTGGTGTCCACACACAGGCTGTCTGTGACCCTCAGGTAGGAGGGAGCCGCCTCCTGCAGCCCAGAGGTCTTGGGAAGCATTATGGGAAGCTTTCCTGATCACACATATCCCGTTGCCCCTGCTACTTCTGCCTCTGAGAATCATCGCCCAGAGGTGGAGAAAGTCAATTGGACCCCTTAGAATCAAAGGTCACTCAAACCATGACTTGGAGAAAGATGAGGAGCTGAGCAGTGGAAGGAAGGGTAAGGAAAGGGCTGAATCAAAGATTACTTAGATGTCGAAGCTGAGTAACTAGGGTAGTGACACTATTAACAATGGTGAGGACAGGAAGCGGGTGAGGATGAATACACGTACTCTTAATCGTGTTTGCCATGGAGATGGCTGGTTGCTAAGCGGATTGCGTTTTCTTAGGCTGGCAAAATTTGTTTAGCATATACTTGGTGTGCTTTTGCCTATAGCCAGATGTTTTCCAACGCACAGCTCTTTTATTTAGTGGAAATTCAGAGGCAACTGTGCAGCAGTGTGAGGCCTGAAGAGGTTGGTGACTAAGCAGAGAGCGTGGAAAGGCTTCCGTTCTGTAGGTAAAATGTGTTGTTCTCGTTTCCAGCAGCTTCTTAACTCCACAGGAAATTGGATAATCCGTCGGTGGCCCTTTGGGACGCAGAAATTTCCAGAAGGGAGGGAGAAGGAAGCCTCGCCAGGACTGGCTGTGAGGCTTTTCCTCTCTGCTCCCTTATGACACAGACATCAGGCCGGTCTGTCCCCAAACACCACCACCCAGGAGCTGTTCTCATGGGGAGGTGCCCTGTTCAGTTAGCCACTGGGGTTTCCCCCCTTACTTTAAAATTCTAATAAAGTATCATTTCTTAATATTCCTGAATAGGTTAAAAAAAAAGGACTTGAACAACTCGTAGTCGAATAAATCAAAGACTGTCAAAATGTGACCTTCATTATCGGACAGTTGTCTCCTCTTATCAGTGGAAAAGACCATCAGGATTAAGAGAGGCAAGAGGAGGTCTGGGAATGTATCTTTAGTTGTCGCCCAGATTTCTGTTGGGCCTTGGTTTTAATTCAGAAGTGTCTGTCTGCAAGGTCCGCTTCACTTTCTTGATCTTCCTCCATTGGAATCTGACTTCACGTTACGCTGTTCATCAGTGTTGAAGCCTTTGCCTACTTTCAATGCTCATTCTAATTCATCCCTTATTTCCAGTTGACCTTGTTCACCACACCCCCCTAAACCTCTGTCCTGCCTCAGTTTCCAGGATTTCTATCTTCTCGTTCCTTCTTCTCTGACATCCATTTTCAGTCCTCTATTATGCCGTTAGCTACGGAGGCAGAAAGATAGGTTTGGTCTTCATTCAGCTTGGATTGAATCTAAGCTTTGCCGATAGCTAGCAAGTCAGTTGGTATCTCTGAGCCTCAGTTTCCTCATCCGTAAGACAAATGTGTTGTGAGGCCAAAGTACTTCCCTAGGGCTGCCATCCAAAGTACCACACACTGGGTGGCTTAGACCAGAGGTCGCCAACCGGTGGTCTGTGGACCACTGTGGTCCGTGAGGTCCGAAAGGTTGGCAACCGCTATCTTAGACAATAGTCCCAGGTCAAGGTGTCAGCAGAGCTGGTTTCTTCTGTGGCCGTTTCTTTCCTTGACTTGCAGACGGCTGTCTTCTCCTTGTGTCTGCACATGGTCTTCCCTCTATACATGTCTGTAGCCTAATTTCTTCTTATAAGGTCACCAGTCGTGGTGGATTAGGGCCCACTGTAACGGCCTCATTTCACGTTACTTATGCCTTTAAAGACCATACCTCCAAGCACAGTCACCGTCTGAGATCCTGGGGGTTAGGTCTTCAACATGAGAATTTTGGGAAGACACAATTCAGTCCATAAGAGAAGGTTAAATGAAATAATATAAAGTTCAAGGCACCACTCTCCTTCCTTGTCTAGCCCTTTGCTGATGGATTTTCCTGGAGCACTGACTGGCTCTCTTTTATCTTGCCCATTTTTGTTGTTGCTTTGTTTTGTTTTTAGAGAGAGAGAGAGAAACATCGATATGAGAAACATGAACTAGCTGCCCCCTTCATTTCTCTTGCTCCCCCCCTCCCACAACCTCCCCGGCATCGAGCCTGCAACCAGGCATGTGTCCTGACCAGAAATTCAACCAGCGACCTTTTGGTGCACGGGACGACACTCAACCAACGGAGCCACACCGGCCAGGGCTTGCCCATTGCTTTGTGGGGAGAAGTTATTTATGTGGAGGTTTCAAATATTGTATGTATACCGTGTTTCCCAAATCCATGTTTCACGCTCCATCCTTGCAGCTGTGTGCCAGACCACTGTTTTCAATTGTCCAGTGGGCGTCGTCATGTGGATGCCTCACATGTCATTAGTCCAAAACCAAATGCCTTCACATCTCTTCTGTGTCTTTGTTATTAGCAGCACAGTCCCCACAGCTACCCAAGCTCAGGTGCCTGTGTTTCTTTCCTCTCCCTCCCTTTGCACTGAAACCTAATTGATCCCCAAGTGCAAGTCAGTATATTTTACTTTCACTGCATTTTCAGTAGTCAAACCCATCCCTTTATCTGTATTCAAACTGTAAGGCTTGAGTTAAGACCTTCATCTTTTTTCTGTCTCTTGGTTTCCTTGTCTCATTTTTTTTCCGTGTCCAGTATCTGCCACAGAGTTATTTTTCTGAAGTGCAATCTGATCAGTTCGTTTTGTCCAGTTAAATCTGTTGCCCTTTCATTGCATAAAGATTAAGGAAACCCCTTAGCATGGCAAACAAATTCCTTCCTACTCTGCCCTCTTCACCCCTTTGAAGTGTACAGTTCAGTAGCATTAGGTATAGCCACAACCGTGTGTAACTATCACTACTATCTATTTCCAGAACTTTTCATCACCCCAAATAGAAACTCTACCCATTAAGCAGTAACTCCTTATTGACCCCTCCCTACAACCCTGGAAACCTCTAACCTATTTCTGTGTACTTGCCTATTCAAGACATTTCATGTAAGTGAAATATTTGTTCTTTTGTGCCTGGCTAATTTCACTTACTATACTGTTTTCAAGGCTCATTTGTGCTGTAGGAAATATCAGAATTTCAGTCCTTTTAATGACCGAACAATATTCCATTGTATGTATATTGTTTTTATTTATTTGTTGGTGGACATTTGAGTTGTTTCTACTTTTTGGCTGTTGTGAATAATGCTGCTATGAACGTTCATGTACACACACCGGTCCGAGTCCCTGTTTTCAGTTCTTTTGGGTGTATAGCTAAGGAGTGGATTCCCCAGATTCCTGAGTTAGTAATTCCTTCCTCATGTTTTCCCAAAGCACACCACATGTGACTCTACTGTGGTGTTTGATGTATTGTGTCGTAAATGATTTATATCTATATTGGTACCTCATTGGACTGTCTACGGCATATAGACCAGTGTGTGGTACTGAGTAGTAGGCATTACACAGCTGTTGAATAATTAAATGAAAGATGGAAAGAATAAGCACTCATACTAACCAGTCATCTTATGGGCCTGGTGACTAAATGTATCAAAACTTGTCGGCTATTAAGGCCTGTTTATAATCAGCTTCTAAAGAGAAACAGCTTACTAGTCTTTGGTAGGGTGGGAGAAAGTGCAAAATTTAGAGGCTAGACACTTTCCTTGCAAGAAGAGGTTCCGCGGAACAGCTTGAAGTACTTGACATCCAGCTGTTGTCTGCAATACCAGCCACAAGCATTCATGGTTGTGGCACACAGTTGAGTGTTATTTTCATTTGAGATTAAAAAAACAACAACAGAAAAACAGCAAATGAGTCTTTCCCACCCTGCCTTTAGACATTCCGCCCAGCCGCGATGCTGATAGAACGATCGTCGGACTTTGGGAAAACCTGGGGCGTGTACAGATACTTCGCGTATGACTGTGAGAGCTCATTTCCGGGCGTTTCAACGGGCCCCATGAAGAACGTCGATGATATAATTTGTGATTCCCGATATTCTGACATTGAACCCTCAACAGAAGGAGAGGTTTGTTTGCCTTTTTTTGTATTGCATTCTACTTGCAAATCTAGTTTTTGATCATTGCAGAAATACCAATTACTCTTCTCTCTATTTTTAGGTGATATTTCGTGCTTTAGATCCTGCGTTCAAAATAGATGATCCTTATAGTCCAAGGATACAGAGTAAGCTTGTTTTCAAATAAAAGTTTGATGGAAAATAGCAATCATGGAAGAACTCTTAGCCAGAGCACTGCTACCCAGAATCTAAATATACAGTGCTAAATCCACCCTCTTCATTTCCTTTCTTCTCTGCACAACCCTACCAGAAACTCGAAATTGGCAGTAATCAAAGTCCTCGTTGATGGGTAATACATTTTGATAAGCGTAAAAGACTGATGTCATAATACTCAAGCAGTTATGCTTGTCATAATACCTTATTTTGCTCAGTATAATATATGTTTACTAGTATGTGTGTGTAAGTACACACACACACACACACACACACACACACACACATTAAGTTGCTGTAATGAAGTGTCCCAAAAAATACAGTGGCTCAAGTAAATGGAAGGTTATTTCTCTCTGACAAAATCACCCAGAGGGATTTTCAGAGAAGAGGCGCTCAGTTGCCACATGTAGGCTCACTACATAAAAGACAGACTGACATCCGGGTAAATCTGACTTGCAGATAAACAGTGAATTATTTTTTTTTAGTATAACTGTCCTATGTAATATTTGTGACTAGCACAAGTATACCCCATAGTATAACTATGTCCCATGTGATATTTGGGACATATTTATACTAAAAAATGATGGTTTGTCTGAAATTCAATTTAACTGAGCATCTTGTGTCTTTATTGCTAAATCTGGGAACCCTAGCCAGTAGGTCACCCAGGTTCCCAGGTGCCTTCTGTCTTATTCTATTTGTCCGCATGGTTAGAACTGAACCAATGGCTTTGTCCCAACCTGTGGGAGGGCAGGAAGTGAAGGGCAAGTGACACAGAAGCTATTATCACTTCTATTCACATCTCATTGGCCACAATTAGTCACATGACTATACTGCAGGCTACGCTGCAGAACAACTCTAGCTAGATGGCCATGCGCTCTCACACTCTTGACTAGGGCTCTTATGTCAAAGGGAGAAAAGAAAGAATAGTGAGCGAAATCAGAAGTCTCAGCTGCGTTCAATATGTTCAATGAGGTGAGGGTTGTTTCCGTTTTACAGCTGAGTGAACTGAAGCTCAGAGAGAGAGCTGGCATTAATGTCAGATCCTAAGCCCCTAAGTTAGGACTCTCAGTTCAGAGCTCTTTGCAGCCTTCAGTAACCATGCTTACGATTTTTTCAGAATTACCTTAAGATCTCTTTGGGAGGCAGAATATGCACTAATTACAAGGATGGGCTTTGGAGTCAGACAGATTTGGGTTTCAGTCCCAGTGCCAGCGTATTAATAGCTTTGTGACCTAGGGCAAGTCATTTGCTTAAAACTTTTAAAGCCTCTGTTTTTTTTTCATCTGTAAATGGAGAGAGTAATATTGACTTTAGGGTTGTTAGGGAGGGAAAGTGAGTTCATGTACATAAATCACCTACCAACATGCCTGACGCATAGAAAGTGTTCGGTAGGTTGAAGCTGCGCTGCTACTGTTGTTGCTGTCAGCGGCGGCTTAGGTCCTGTGAAGACCTGGTCCTGGGTCAGCATGAAAGGGTGGGGCTCCCCCCTCCCCCCACTGCTGAGCTGCATACAGGCAGGTAGTGGGGCAGGGCAATCCTTATCTCCCAGCTGGGCATGGCCTGTTTAACCACGGCCCCGCCCCACGGAGCCCCCAGCCTGAAGCACGGAGAAGGGGAATGGAAGAAGTCCAGGGACATTGCCAGGAGACTGCTGTTTCCCCACTTAATTTAATTTCTCTGTGGCCCAGACTGTCTCTGATCTGCAATTTGCTCTTTCATTCTGTTGTAAAAACAAATATTTAGTGGCACGACCAGCCCTGTGCGATTTCTGAGTGAGCTCTGTGGGGCCTGCCCTCCCTGCTCTCAAAGTCCAGCTGTGAGAAATGTCCGCCTGGGCTCCTATGACCCCTCACCCTCAGCCCCGGGCCCCAGTGCCATGTCCCTAGAAGGACTCACGGTCTACTCCTTTTTAGGTGAAACTTGTGGGACTTGGGGAACATGTTGCCATTATAATTCTGTTGTCTTCTGTTGTTAAATGGCATCAGAAAATATTTCTAGATCGAAGAAGCATCCATTTTAGCTGTTCATGCTTTTGATTTACTTTGTAATCAAGGGAACAATCGCTCTTTGGTTGTTTCTATTGTTGAGACCTTTGAGACTCACTTCACAAGTGATTTTTGCCTCTTGGAACAGCAGTCAATGCGAGACTCAGTTGTTGTAAAATATGGCAGGAGAGTGGAGGGGAGTGTATTTGCTCTTCTGAGGGCTTCCACAAAGATCAGTTCAAGGGTTTCTAAATACTCCAGCTGCTCTTCAAGTTTGTTGTTTGGCCTCGTCAATGGGCGCTTGTGCTCTTTCTACGTAGGAGCATTTGTGCAGGAGGAAATGTTGGCATTCATAAATTCCATTCGGTTTCTCTGTTTAGTTTTTGATTTTACAAAGAGCCCAACTTTAATGCATGGAGTCATGGACTTTCTCTTTCCACCCACGGCTCCTCTATCGTCTCTATTGTAAGCTATGCATATATTATAAGTATTTAAAATTGTACTTAGGCTTTGAAAGTATCTGACACGCTGGGCCAATTCCCTGTTGCCTTGTGTTGTAAATTAGAAGGCTGGGGGCGGGAAATAAGGCTGCATCAGCAGAAATGAAAGTAACGTTTAGGAGCAGTTTCAGGCTACAGAGCTAAGCGGGAGGGCAGATGGAACAATCAATCTTGTGGGGTCCACTGTAGCAAGAGCGACTTAGTAATTAATGAAAACACTGATCAGAAGGTGGAATGGCTCTTGGCTTATAAAGTTACTGTAGAATGCAACTGGCTGCCCAGCTTCTATAATCAGCATAGATCTATAGACCCAGGAAAAAGAAGATAAGAGAGATTGAGAAAAAAACCATTTGCCCCATCATGCTAATACTAAGCTCCTTTATCCTTCTGCCACTGTATTTTATTGGTAATTATATTGATAAGTTTGTATTGTAAAACTAGGACAAAGAAATTTATAGATCATCATGTTGCTTCAAAACTTGGTTGAGATATTCTGTACCTGGAGTGTGGTTATCCTATAGTGTTAAATCTATTTTAGTAACTTGGAATACATCTAAATGGTGGGGAATTTCAGATAGTATTTACCTCTCCAAAAATAAATACAGAAATACAGAGTACGGAAAAAGTAGGTTTACAGTTGTGAGTACGCAAAACACAGAGTTTATACTTGTATTATTATTTATTAACTAGAGGCCCAGTGCACAAATTCATGCCCGGGTGGGGTCCCTCGGCCTGGCTGGTGATCGAGGCTGGCCAGGGGGAGGGACCGTGGGAGGTTGACTGGCATGGGAAGTTGGCTGTGGGAGAGCACTGATCACCAGGGGGCAGCTCCTGCGTTGAACGTCTGCCCCGTGGTGGTCAGTGTGCATCATAGCAACTGGTCGTTCGGTCAACCGGTTGTAAAGGTCACTTAGCCTTTTATATATAGAGATTATTGTATTATTTCCTATATGAACAACTGCAAACCTACTTTTGCCCCACCCTGTATGTTTCTTCCTAACTATCTTACACTAATGTTAATGAGAATTTGGGTGCTTTGATAAACCCTTTCCCACCTGGATGGAATTTTTTGATTTCGAGACTGGCACTGGTTGCTACAGGAACCAGATGGCATTGCAGTAGTTAGATTACTGTGTGCCCATGGATTCTGACAGTCATGCCACCTCAGTCATAAATGTCTCCTCTCTTCCATTCTTCCCGAAACGTCAATCTGCACACAAATCCATCACAGAGTAAACGTTCTCATTAAACTAATGGGAAGGCTGTAGCCTGTCTGTCTTCCAGAGACTGTCCCATCATGTTAAACTTTACTGTCATGATCATCGAGATCAGACAAGGAGGGTAAACTTGACACAAGCCATTTTAGTTTGTCATGCCTTTCGGTAAAGAGAAACGATGTGTAGCTGCAAAAGAAATCTTGCCTGTTTGATCAGACGTTTCATCTGCTTGGTGTCCTTCATAGATCTCTTAAAAATCACCAACTTGAGAATCAAGTTTGTGAAACTGCATACTTTGGGAGATAACCTTTTGGATTCCAGAATGGAAATCCGGGAGAAGTACTACTATGCAGTTTATGATATGGTGGTTCGAGGAAATTGCTTCTGCTACGGCCATGCCAGTGAATGTGCCCCCGTGGACGGAGTCGACGAAGAGGTGGAAGGAATGGTAAGCAAATGCAGCTTTCTGCTTACACAGGTGAATCTGAAGAAAATGGAAGCTGGACTTCCCATGAGCCTTTCACGTTTTCTAGGGGTTTTATTTTTCCAGACTTACAATGAGGCCTTTGCAGCGTAGTTGATTTTCCCTTTGCTGACTTTCTTGGACTTTGAGGACGTGAGGACTGCTCATAGACACTGCATTCATTTTTGGAGATGTTGCTACGGGCTGATACTACAGTAGATACTTGAATCAGCAAATATTAAAACATTCTCTAAATAACAATACGCCTTCCTTTACTTTAGGGGAGGTTAAAAATCACAAGCATTCCAGTCTTCATGCTAGAAGGCAGAAATTGATCCCAGTCCAAAGAAACTGGAAATTTGAACCTAGAAACACAGAATATCATTGAGGAATTAAATGGACTTTGTTTCTTTATATCTTCTAGTTTCATCCTTTTCCCCTGTGTTCTTAAATCATGTACTTTTAAACATTGGGGATTTGGGTGATTTGCAAAATGGATTAAGATAGAGTATTTTACCAGTTTTCTAAGTACAATGATAATTCTTATAGACCCAGATGATGTTAAAGCCAGACAGGATTTATTAAACCAACCATCCTTATTAGAAGAGCCCGGGCATTGAGTTTGCCAGAGGGCCCTACATAAGTATGTGACAGATGGAGATTCAAACCGAGTCTGCCCCGGGGTTCCTTCCTCTGCACCGGGCCTTCCTTCCCGATGAAGGCTGGGCCTTGACGGCTTGCTGTTTGCCTTCGCAAAGCTTATTAGTCCCATCGAAGAAGGTGCAGGGTTGAGTGCACTTGACCGTCTAAAACTTGTCTTCCCTTCACTCTCGTGAGAAGTTGTTGCATAAAGTTGACTTTTTAAATGAACCTAAAGGGAGGAGTTATCCTAATCTTGTTGCGACATCAGAGAACCCTGTCAAGATTATATTTACTTTCGCTGTAGCCTTTTGGGTGTGTAGCTAATGTCTTGCAGTCATGTCACTGTCATGCATCTCGCAATGCATTGGGCTGTTTGCTCAGAAACTGTAGAGTCCTGTGGTATGTACTTTGGAGCTATTTTTCAGCCTATGTGAAACCACCTTGTAATGACATGATATTAGGCTTCTGCTAACTGCATTCCTGTCAGAGTGGGTGCAGGGTGGGCCTGTCTGTCCTGTTCCCGAATTCCATTCTGCAGAGACGAGTGTTAAGGTGAGATGCCCGCATACATGCCGATTGGTAGGCTGGGAGAACTTACGGTTTATGTGCCTCAGGGGCTTAAGTGTGCCTTGCGGTGACACAATGCAAAATAGTGCATCATGGGCCCTCATAAAGCAAAATAATGTGTATGTTTTTTCTCAGTTTTTATATTTCCTTTCTTAAAGGAAAAAAAATGTAAAAGGAAGAATGTAAATGTAAAATAATTGGTTGAAAAAAATTTAAGTGCTGTGCCAGAAGTAAAAAAACAAAACAAGCAAACAAATATCTTTCGTATGGCATAAGTGGCAAAATTTGCAGTAATGTGAGTTGTTCCCAAGTGGTGTGTATAATTTAATTCTCCATTATAACTTTTGTTGATTTCTATCATAATACATTTTTTTTAACTCATAAGTAACTAGTTTTTTGGTTTTTAAAATATTCTTAAGTTACTATTTTCCTTCATCTGGGTTTTTTCCATTGATACTTTAACAAAATATGTATTGAGTTTCCATTATATAGTAGGAACAGTTCCTAGAGATGAGCGCTATAGCCATCAGCAAAATAGATAGAACTCGCCGTGGGAGGAACCAAATAAAAACAAACCCGCACTGTGGTGCACTAGAGCTTAGAAGTGGTATGAAAAGGGGTTTATATTTTCCATTGATCGTGGAAAATTCTAGCCATTGGCATACCTCTTACTCTGCTCTTTCCTGTTTTTACAACTCTCAAGGTTCATGGCCACTGCATGTGCAGGCATAATACCAAGGGCTTGAACTGTGAACTGTGCATGGACTTCTACCATGATTTACCATGGAGACCAGCCGAAGGTCGGAACAGCCATGCCTGTAAAAGTAAGTTTCAGCCAGAGGGACATTTTGAGTCAATTCAGACACCAGTATCCATCTTTTGGTAAAAGAGAAGGTGATAGTACACTATTTTGAAAAAAAAAAAAAAAGAAAAGAAAAGTTACTGCCCTTTTCCCAGCTTTATCCTGATACTCTTAGGAGACCAATATTCACCCAGTTAAATTAATAAATTACTATTTACTGAGCAGCACCTAGGTGTTTAGCAAATTCAGTAGAAGATGAAGATGTTGTCCCTGACATTGTACCTGTTTTGGAGGCAAGATGCCCAGGAGAGAAAAATGAAAGAAAAGTATGGCCTGGTAGATGATTAAGGTTGGGCTATGGAGTAGGATGTTTGGCCTTGTTTCTTTGCCAGCCCAGCTGCAGCCTCTGGTTTCCTTCCATCCATCCATCCCCGTGGGATTCTCTGGGCAGAGGTGTTTGCACACCACCACCCTTCTAACCCCACACGCAGTGGTTCCCATATACTGTCCTCCCCTCCGGAGCGTGTCTGCCTCTGCCCCCACTGAGAAGGGCTGTTCTAGAAGATCGGAAAGTAGTGCGGGCTGGAGTGGTCCGGGTTTTGTTAGTAATACACCCCAGCTGTCCCTAGGTGAATAGTTAAGAGTGTTTAGATCAGTGGTTCTCAACTTTGGCTGCACATTAGAATCACCTGGGAATCTTTTTAAAATCCTGATTTCTGGGCCTCATCCTCTGGAAATTGTTTCTTTGTTATGGGGTGGGGCCACAACATTAGTAACAAAGAAACAGAATTTCCGGAGGATGAGGCCCAGAAATCAGGATTTTAAAAAGATTCCAGGTGATTCTAATGTGCAGCCAAGGTTGAGAACCACTGGTTTAGATAACAAGAAGAAGGGGAGGGGAGAAGGTGGGAGGGAGTTAAGATAAGGAGAACAACATTTAGCACAAGGCCCCAGGGACATCTGGTGACCACCACAGCATCTAGGCTGGGAAATGATTCGAAGGTTTTATTCAACCAGTGTATCAAGGGCAACATTCTACTGGGCACAGAGCAGACATCAGCGGATAAGACGCCTTCTCTGTCTCCAGGACATGTTCTGTGACGGGGAGAGATGAGGCTAGAACAGTGATGGTGAACCTTTTGAGCTCGGCATGTCAGTATTTTGAAAAACCCTAACTTAACTCTGGTGCCGTGTCGCATATAGAAATTTTTTGATATTTGCAACCATAGTAAAACAAAGACTTATATTCTTGATATTTATTTTATATATTTAAATGCCATTTAACAAAGAAAAATCAACCAAAAAAATGAGTTCGCGTGTCACCTCTGACACGTGTCATAGGTTCGCCATCACGGGGCTAGAATGTAAAGCCCCGTGAGGGCCACGCTGAGTTAAGCTTCAGTGTGAGATGATAAGAGGGATCCAGGTGGATTGTTGATCGTGAGAGTGAGAAGATTATGATGAAAGCTGGCTGGGACCAGGATAGGATGACAGCCGAGTAGGCTAGAGAAGGAACAGACTGCCCTGAAGCCGGCTAGATGGCTGCTCAGCAGACCTCAGTTCTCACTAAGGAGCCTGGCCTGGTGTGGGGGTGGGAGTGGGGAGGAAGGGAATCAGGCCTTCAGACCATGTTCCTCCAAGCTGGCGGCCCGCGCAGGCTGTGCCAGGAACACGTTGCCTAGAAAATCCTCTGGGGCGATTGACGGCTTCCCATCCCACCCCGAGCGGGACCCAAAGGGGTCCTCCGTGCAGTGACAGCCTTCCTGCCAAGAAGCCCCCACGGGGACTTTCCCCCCAAAGATTTTCAACGTTTTGTAGCCCATTGTCTTCCAAGGAGGGCAAGTTGTTGAGTTTCTTTCCTAAAGTCCACACTTCGAAGGTTCTAGCTTGACGAGGGATTTCAGGTGACGCATCGGTGGGTATGTCCTTTCCACCACGGTGCCTTCTGGTTCGTTGCTGTTTTGCACAATGAGCTTCCTTCCTGCCACCCCCACCCTCCACTGGTCAACAGACTTCAAAAGGCTTTACTTGACATTGGTCTTGTCACGCAGAGTGTAACTGCAACGAACACTCCAGCTCCTGCCACTTTGACATGGCCGTCTTCTTGGCCACTGGGAACGTGAGTGGAGGCGTGTGTGACGACTGTCAGCACAACACAATGGGGCGCAGCTGTGAGCAGTGCAAACCCTTTTACTATCAGCACCCGGAGAGAGACGTCCGAGACCCTAACTTCTGTGAACGTAAGTGGGGACAGGCCGCGGGGTGGGGCCTGTCGGACTCGGTTTGAGCAGTGTGGGAGTCACCATCCTTCTGTAGGAACTCATCGTATGGGCATGAGACTCAGCCTTATTTTATCTGCTGCATAGGATGCCGGGAGTGGAATTTACTTGGTAGTAAAGTAAAGCCTTCTTTAGTCTACTTTTGTGACATTTGAAGGACTAGGGGAATACATGTACTTATACAAACACACGTTGTGTAACCTGGTGCTTTTCGTTCTTGCTAGAATGTACCTGTGACCCAGCTGGCTCTCAGAATGAGGGAATCTGTGACAGTTACACAGATTTTTCTGCTGGGCTCATTGCTGGTCAGTGTCGGTGTAAATCATACGTGGAAGGAGAGCATTGTGATATTTGCAAAGAAGGCTTCTATGGCTTAAGTGCCGAAGATCCATTTGGTTGCAAATGTAAGTACATTCGTTTAGAAGTTTGGGAGTTCTCACGTGTGCATAAGTCCCAGACTCCTTTGCAATTTTAAATCCAGACTCCTGCTTCGGACTCGCTTGGTTTATGTTTCTTTACTTCGTTTTATCTTCAATAAAGCTTGCGCTTGCAATCCTCTGGGAACAATCCCTGGCGCGAATCCTTGTGACTCTGAGAGTGGTTACTGCTACTGTAAGCGTCTGGTGACAGGACAGCATTGTGACCAGTGTGTGGTAGGTAAAGCCTCATTGCATTGGGTGGGTAGTTTGTGAATAAGACATGTTTTAATAGAGAACGCTTTTCCCTATTGTAGATTCTGTCATCACCCTTGTATGTAAATGTTACATGAGTAGATACTTCACAAAAGAGGAATTACTAAGGAATAAATTTTTTTTAATCCTCACCTGAGGAACATCAATGTGAGAGAGACACATCAACTACGAAGGAATAATTTTGACAAGCTGTTCACCGTCACTCTCGGAATTGTAAAAGAAAACCTCAGTGAAATGCCATTTTTACAGACAAAATTAATACAAGTTTTAAAAAATGGGAATGCTGACTAATGCAGACAAAATGAAGGGCTGGTACTCTCATATGCTGCTGATAGAAATGCAAATTGGCTATAATTTTTGAAAATTTGGAGCTAAGTATCAGTAGCCTGTAGAAATGCACATATTCTTTGACCCAGTAATCACACTTCTGGGTATTGATCCTAAAGAAAGAATCAGAAAATTGGATAAAGAGGGATTCACCAGAGGACTCATAGTATTTTTAAGATTATTTTTCAATTACAGTTGACATACAATATTATATTCATTTCAGGTGTACAACATAGTGATTAGATATGTATCTAATGAAGTGATCACCCAATAAATCATTGCATCTTTCCTTAATCACAGCAAAAAACTTAGAAGCAACAGTGGGGGGAAATAGTTAAGTAAATTTGGGGGCTTCCAAACAGTGTGATATTTGGTTGCCGCTGAAAATAACAGCAACATGAGGAAATGCTTATGGTGGTATAAAAATAAAACAAAACAAAAACCTCATGATATGAGTGGTATCTTGATTATATAGAAAACAATTCATCAAGGAAAACAAAATCTGGCGGGAAATATACCCAAAAGTTCATCATCCTGAATTCCAGGTGGAATAATTATGAGAGTAATTTTTAAAAATTATCCTATATCTCTTACAACATTTTTGTGATTGCTTTTATAATTTGGGAGAGGAAATACTACTGAACCCAAACGATATGATCACTACATATGCATATTGCATATATCCTAGCATATTCTTAAAGTAAATTTCTGGAAGTCTGATTTAAATGGTGAGCCCGGTTTTTATCTGCTCATTAGGAAACATGCATATGTTGAGGCATAAGAGTGCTTTACCCCCTATGGATTCTGTCCCATTTCTTTCCATCTCCAGTGGTTCCGGGACTCTGGGATCACCTCACTTTTCAGTTGTGAAAATAGTCCTTGCTTTTTAGGCTATGTTTCCACATAAACAAATCCTTGAAAAACTTTCTTTATGGAGTTTATGACAGACCGAACTTAAGAAAAATCTAAAGGCCTGCCAAACATTCGCCAAAACTCTTACTGCCAGAGTAATTCTATTGAAGAAAATTGGCATCTTCGCTACCTTCTCATGGTGATTGGCTATTTGCAGGGCAAAGAAACTACTCTGATCTGGGGTTATCGTGCGATTATGTGTAACCCTCTCTGACCCCTGTGACCTGCAGCCTGGGTGTCCTTATTTCAGAATACGTGTACTCCTTTCTTTTGTAGACTTTCTTCTTTCCCGGTGCAAATGAACGCTTGGCGGAACAGCCAAAACACGCCATAACTTGTTTCTTGCTGAGTCTATTGTGTAATTACAGGAACCCACCTTTAGATGTCTAATCTTTTGTTCTGCAGCCAGAGCATTGGGGCTTGAGCAACGATTTGGATGGATGTCGACCTTGTGACTGTGACTTTGGGGGAGCCTTGAACAGTAGGTGAGTGGGGCTTCACTTACACGCTCGTACTCAGTCACCCAGGGGAGCCCTCCTGATCCCTAGGAGGAGTGACATCCATTCTCTGAAGGAGATATTCAAGAGTGTGTTCACCTTTGGTTTGAATGCCTGATCATTACTTTTCCCTGTGGTCTCAATGCTTTCAAAGACGTATTCGTTCCAAGAGTTAGCTTTGAAACCTTATAGTATGTTTATGTTTCTTGGTTTGAATAGTGTTGATGTTCCTTATTTTTGTGTTTTCTCTTTACAGTATTTTTTAAATTATGGAAACAGTGTATTCCCATCTGTACTAATAAAAGGGTAATGTGCTAATTAGACTGGATAGAGTGGATGTCTTCCAGACGTCCTTCCGGACAAAGCCACAGTGGCAGAGGCAGAGGTGGTTAGGGGCGATCAGGCTGGCAGGGGAGCAAGTTAGGGGCGATCAGACAGGCAGGCAGGCGAGCGGTTAGGAGCCAGCGGTCCCGGATTGGAATGTCTGACTGCAGGTTTAGGCCTGATCCCGCGAGGATATCTGCAGGATCAGGCCTAAACCAGCAGTCGGACATCCCCCAAGGGGTCCCAAATTGGAGAGGGTGCAGGCTGGGCTGAGGGACGCCCCCCGCATGAATTTCATGCACCGGGCCTCTAGTAGTTCTAAAGTATTCAAACAATTCTGACAGCTATCCTGCCCTTCCTCTCTGCAAGTTCCATTACCTAGTAGTGCCACTGTTAACAGTTGCTTGTATTTCTGTAGACATCGATAATAGTGCTCAGAATATGTGTTAAAAATTACAATTTCTTTCTTCTCGTTTCTTTTAAAATAACATGTTAGGTTTTATTTTTTAAAAGAGACAAGTACAAAGAAAAAAAGCCCATGATTTCCCACTTCATGTTACTGACATTTTTTTGAAAATCAAAATAATAGATGTTATGTACACAATTGCACAACTTGCTTTTTTATCTAGAGATCTTTTTTCATATCAGCATGTGTTCATCTACCCCCATCATGTGAAAGTGCGATGATTTATTGACTTCCAGTCTTTTTGCTTTTTAAATATGTTTCAGTGAATATCCTTGTAGATATATTTTGATGAATGTAGATATAGCTATAGATTAGGTTCCTAATGATGGAACTTCGAAAATGTGGATGTACATTTTTTATTTTAATAGAATGTCAAGTTGTTCTGCAGACAGATTGTGCTGATTTATTTTTCTACAAACCAGTTACAAAAGTACCCTTTTCTCTATTCCCACCAGCAGTTGGCATCATCATTTTATTTTTCACCAATCCATAAGATGAAAAATGAACTCCCATTTTGATTTGTGTAAAGAATCATTTCATTTTATTTTATTTTATTCAGCTTCCAAGCCTATTCATGAAAATGACATGTAATACCTTTTAGTTACTTAAATACATTGGTATTCCTTGAATAGAGGAGACATGAAGCTCTACCAGAAATTAATCATAATATACATTTGGCAAGATGTTGCATTTCTGGACGTTTAATTAACCACCTTGGAGTCGAAGAGAGTTTTGGTCTCCGTTGGTTACAGGATCAGATTCAGAACATCTGGTAAAGAGAGGGTGAGTGGCTGCTGAGAGAACAGGCAGATGTTTCCTTGGCCCTGAACTTTCCCAGAGAGAACATGCTGAATTCATTGAGCAAGCTTTATGTACTCATAAATTGACTCTTTTACAAGATTATTTCTCAACACCATGGAAGTCTGCTGGGAGGGAATGAGATTCCAGGCAGCAAGAGCGTGTTCTGTTTGGCCTCTGTATTTGGGTCTGTCCTATTCCAGAACGCGTACCAAACTCAGCACAGTGTGTATGTAGCCCTCTGGAACTCCAGTACTGAATGTCTATTCTTCGAAAACCTCCAGAGGGGAGGAAGCGAGGATAATTCCATAAAAGCTGGAAAGAAAGACCAACTACTTGCCTGCTTATGGAACCACTTCTCTGGCTTTCCTTTGTGACTCCCAGAACACGCACTGATTCCTTTAGTGACTTATTCCTCAATTCCAAACTGTCATCACACCTCGAACTCTCCTCGAGTAGGTGAAAACGGCATCCATAATTTTCCAAATTATGTCATAAACTCAGGAATGTCCTATGTTCCTTTACCCTAAATGGTTTCTATTACTTCCACTCCCTTCCTCTTTTTCTCTATTGTACACACGTTTCCTGTCTCTGAATCCACCCATACACAACCCCTGAGCTGCCCCTCCTGTCTCCTGCAAAAAAATGTATACTAGTAAAAACCAGAATGTGCTAATCAAGAGAGTTTGTGAAGCAGATGTTTTAGTGAAAATTTTAAGGCAGGTGATTTGATCTCTCTAACATGATTGATGAGACACTCTATCTTTTGGCATGAGTGATGGGAAAAGAACCTTTCGCGTTGCCTCTAGTCCTGTGCCTCTGCAGTGTTTTGTCGAGATCCTTTTCCAAGTTGGCCCCCAGGGGACTTTCTCTAGGACCCCCGTGGGAGTGGTTGAGGCCCAGTCTTCTGAAGCACCGGTTCCACTTGGAGAATGCTTGGGGCATCGCAGATTCTCAGGAAATACTTGCGAAATGAATGGTTTGTTGCAACCACTCATCAGTATCTTCTCTCTGATAATATTCCTTTACCTCACCTTGGACACATAGTAGGTATTGATTAAATGTCGATTGACTTAAAGAATTTGAGAAACAAAATATTTTTAAAATATAAAAACTACATGTGTGCCCCTGAGAAGAAGGCAGTGTCTAAATGTGATCCCAAACATGCCTTAGTTACTTTGGCCAGGGACCGAACTAAGTGTAAAAATCATGTGAAGTGGAAAAACTTAAAATGTTTTGTATAATGAGCCAAATGGATTCTTGGAGAACAATAAAAGCTTAGTAATCCGGGTCTATTATGTTGACAGCTCATCTGGACTTTTGAATATTTTTAAGCAGTAAGACCTAATTAATGTGAATAATATAACCTAAGCCAGGTTAACGAAGTTTTGTCTACCAGATAACCTGCTTTAATGGATAAATAAGAATGGTTGCTAGGTAAATACTACTTATCAATGCTTTAAAAAAACTTTTAAAAATGTAAACACCTTTGTATCATTCCTCAAGATCATTTCATCAATTAATTTATGACTGATATCTGGCTTGAAGACTTCTAACTCCTAGACCGAAGTCCCGTGCCCTCACTTGATCTTTCAACAACACATTACTTCTGCATCTCTTTTCGCAGTTATTTTAGTTGGCTATGTATTATAGCTGTTGGTATTCGAAAGGTCTCTTTAGAAAGGAATTGCGTCTTACTTGTTCTTGAATCTCCCTTTGTACCCAGCACAGTGGACCTTGCAGGTGCTCAATAAATGAGGAAATGAACTTTTATACTTTGAAACAAGAGCAGAAATTAATATATGTTTTCATCAATGTATTGAGTGGGCATCTAGCCCTTTGTTAATTTTAGGTAGTTGGACATAAAAGGATTGCAGAGCACAGCTCCTTCCCCTTACGAAAGTATCCTGCTTTATATAAAATGAGTAGTGCTGACTGCTAATCAATGTAGAACCAACTCTTATTTGTAATCAGAATGATGGAGGATAAATCAGTGTTGAACCGTGGTGGTTCTTATGAATGATCTTTTTATCCTTTCACTTTTCTCCCAGTTTCTTAGTAATAGAAAAAAGTTAAAACTGTACAGTATTTGCTCTGCTCCACACTATTTAAATGAAATAGAATGTTCCTTCCAATTAAACAAGTTGCTAATTTCTGTATTTATGAGAAATTTGTGTTGACTAAAGTGAAGATGTCGGTAGGGCTGTGTTCCTATCTTAAGGCTCTAAAGGAAAATGTGTTTCCTGCTGACCAGAGTTGTTGGCAGAATTCAGTTGCTTCGGGTTGAGGGATGAGGTTTCCGTTTTCCTTCTGGCTCCCAGCTCCCAGGGGCTGCCCACATCCCTTGACTCATGGCCTTCTCCTTTCGTCCTCAAAGCCAACAACTGTGAGTCAAATGATTGTCATGTCACAACGTTTACCCACTTTTCTGCTTGCTTCTTCCACTTTTAAGAACTCATGTGATTAGATTGGGCCCATCCCAACGTCCTTAACCTTAATCACATCAGCAAAGTCCCTTGAGCTCTGTGAGGTAACATACCCACAGATTCTGGGGATCAGGCCATGGACATCTTTTGGGGTCATTAATCTCCTACCGTAAGTCCTGACTTATTTTGTCTTATCTTACATCCTTATTCTACCTTACTGATCCAAATGAATTAAATCTGTATCTAGTTACAGGGAAATTCGTGGGGTTAACATGCAAACTTTTAAATGTACCATTTCTATCCAATATGATTTTTCCTTGAACACAGGGAAGGATAATTACACGTAATAAATCTTTTGTCTCACTATGGAGGAGATAGCATTTGAGCTTAGCTTTTTAAAAAATTTTTTTATTAAGTTATTACATATGTGTCCTTATCCCCCACATTTCCCCCCATCTCCCCCCACCCATTCTGAGCTTGGCTTTTTAAAAAATGAGTGAGATTTGAGAGGTGTAACAAGTGGGCAGGAAAGCCTTCTAGCTGCGAGGAAGAAGACTGCTGAAGGCATGGAGAGGGAGTGAGCGTGGCAAGGTCCAGATCTGGTCTGATCTTGACCATCTCTGCTCACATTCCTCCATTAGCCTCTTTGCTCCTGTCGTTCCTGTCCTCTGTCTGTGAAGATCCTCTGCGACCTTCAGAGCCACCTCTTTCATGATGCTGCCCTTAATCAGATGAGCAGTGCCTGCCTCTAAGCCCACGGTACTTAGCTTGTAGCACTATATAGGCACTTACAGCGTTTTTATTTGCTGTATTGGTCAATTGCTTTATTTTTTTAGTCTCCCAAATTAAAGGGTAATTTCTTTAAGGACAAGGACCATCCCCCCTCCCTCCCCATTTTCCTTTCTCATTATTTAGCCAGAAATAATGGACTTTACCAAGGAAGTAAGGTTTGATTCAGAAGAACGTTGACAATGGACCAAAATGTGAGCGTATTAACACCAGCAAGCATAGCCTCCAGGACCAATATTTGCTCAGTAAATATTTGTGGAAGAGTATGAGGAGTGTGGCTGATCTGAAATTAAAGGGCGGGCGCCAGAGAAAGAAGCGTGGGTTATAGAGGCTGCTGGAAACCAGACAGGGGCCTCGTGATGTGATATAAGATGAGCAGAAACAATCGTGGATTTTTGTGAACTGCTGAAAGCAATGCTGTGGGAAGATTGGTTTGGCAGTGTAGACAGGATGGACTGGGCAGGGGCAGAGAAGAGCTTAAGAGGTCCGTGCGGAAGGTTGCTAGAGCAGCAGGTATAGAAAGATGACATACTGGGCTAGGAGGGTAGCAGTGACAATGAGCAGAAACTAAGTGGAGAAACATCTTGAAATAAAACTTGGATATTGGGGATAAAGAAAAGGGAAGGTTATGTCTCACCTAAAACATCAGAAGAATTTTAAATCTGCTGACAGAAATAGCAGAGCTGAATGTAAGAAATCAGTGGGAGAGGCGACGAGCAGGTGGGGACAAGATGAATTAGAGATGACCGCTGGGCAAACCATGGAAATGTCCCACTCGTGGCTGGACGTGTACAACCAGAGCACGGCTGCATGAGTGCTGAGAGCTGTAGGTGTGAGGGCCATCTGCTCAGGGGCAGGTAAAGCCACCAGAGTGGGTTCGCTAAAGGAGTGAGTGTGGAATGGGAGTCGTGCCTCGCAGTGGCAACAGTTCAGGTCTGTGGACACAAAGAGGAGTGAGGGCCAGGGCTGCTGTTAAGGGAATTCCTTTCACCTGGTCTGGTTCTCCTGCGCTGTTTCTTCTTTAGAACTGGGCTGCAGGTAAGAGGCCACACCAGGGGTCTGCCCACTGGCCTTGTCCTCAGCTTTATTTGCTTATTTTCTAGTGATGGCATTTGAAGACTCAAGTTCTTTTCTTCGGGGGTCCGTGTTTTGGACATATGTTCCCTTGGTAATCATTTGGGCAGGAACTAAAGATTTTCTTTTGTCCATAGGATGTAGCGTTTGGTGCCTGGGTTTTTGGCAATGGCTTTTGTTGGTGGACTGGGCCAAAAGAGGGCTAGGTCCTAATTGGAACAAGCTTTTCTCCTCTGGGAATCGGCTACCGGACGTTAAGGGTTCATATTCCTGCAGGGTAAAAACGACTCACATGGTATACAGAAGAAGACTTCGTTTGGACTTAGAGACTTGGTTTAAAATGAACTTTGGGATGAGAAGAAAAATAATGAAGTCTGGGAATGGGTTTAAAGTAATAGTTTCAAACCACATGACTTTAATGAAATAAAAATGAATGTGTATAATTTGGTTTTACCATGTACACAAAGTCATGATACTAAGGAAAAAGACAGACGTAGGCTGAGAACAAAATGAATAAATTATAGTTCATCCCGAGGCCTTTATTAACCTAAAAGAGTAATGGACTAATTTTAAAAAATTGTATTATTACAGTAAATCTCCTATTCTTTTTCCGTTTGTTTGTTTTTAAAATTCAGAATTCCTATCCTTCATACATTTGTCTGTTGAGCCAGTGTTTGAGTGTACTCAGCCCTGGGCCAGGCCCTACGGGGTGACTGGGGTGAATAAGGCACAGCCCAGGCCCTCAAGGAGTTTGCCGTCCAGGAGGGGGTTAAATAGGTCTGCCAATAATTATACCACAGAGAGAAGGCCATAAATGCCTTAACGATGCAGCTAAGGAATAATTGAAGCCTCAGGAAGCACCAGTGGAGAATGTAGGAGGAGGGAACCAAACAAAACTTCATGAAAGCTGAGCTGGGCTTTGAAAAAATAAGTAGGATTTGAAGACACAGGGCCCAACTTTAATGAACACCTTTGTTGTAGATGTTGTAGATACATCCTTCCTTCTGCAAGGAGGTGGTGGCATGAAAGCGAAGTTGTTGCATTTGATGGAGTGGGATGAGGGTCAGGGAATGCCACGTAGGAGTCCTTGGTGAATCTGGAAAGAGTAGGTGGACCTTTGCCGGGTGAGTCAGGGAGAAGGGCATCCCAGGCTGTAAGAACAGCATAAGCAACGGCAGGAGGTCCCGAGTCACTCGGCACATTTGAGAAGTTGTAAGCAGCTCAGTGTGGGGGAGCGGAGGGGAGAGATGAGGCTGGAAAGGTAGAGATGGCAGATTGTGGAAGTCCTGTTGCTCCTCCCAAGGCCACTGTAGCCAGGAAGTGGCAACACTTCATGCATCTTAGAGGTGCACTTGGGCAGCTCTGGGGCAGGGGCTTAGGTTGGGAAGTTGGAAGATTGGCAGCAAAGATACCAGTTAGAAGACCATATTTGCTTTTCCTGTGAGTGAGAGAAGGAAGAAAGACATGGCATGTAGCCCATGGAAAGGGAAAGAGACGCATCAGATGCAGGAGGCGAATTCGCAGAAGCTGGTTCCTGACTGATACGAAGAAGGAATCCAGAGAATAGTTTCCAGGTCTCTGAGTTGGTTGACTCAGTGGTGGTGTTTCCCCGAGTAGAGAGCGTGGGAGGCATTGAGTGCTGTCCGTGTGAGGGCTGCTAGTTGCTGGGACAGCTAAGTCAGAACTGTCCTCCTAGGAGTTGGGTCTAAGGCCCAGGAAAGGGGTTGCAGCTGAAAATTAGGCAAGCAATCTAAGCAGCAAGAGAAGAATAAAAAAACATTTGTTATATCTTATAGAAAACCCTAAGATGATGTGGACAGAGCATAGTGAAGACAGGGCAGGGGAGGTAAACGTGAAAGACCAGGTCATGCAGAGTTTGGGATTAATCCCAGAACATGGTTTTTCCAAGTTCTTATTTTCCAAAGGAAATAAGAAATTCCCACCCGAATCTTGCACCCCGTTTAGTGTTTAATGGCAGATGTACAACCACACCCAGCGGGTTCCTTTGTAAGAGGCGAGCACGCTGACCCGCTCTGCTCCTTCCCAGCTGCTCCGCGGAGTCGGGCCAGTGCATGTGTCGACCCCACATGATCGGACGTCAGTGCAACGAAGTGGAGCCAGGCTACTACTTCACCACCTTGGACCACTACATCTATGAAGCAGAAGAAGCCAACTTTGGGCCCGTAAGTAGCGGGGTGCTTGGCAGGGTGGTACAGCGGTGTTTGGAAGCAGTGACGGCATGTACACATTTTGTAAACAAACCAGAAGTATTTTTCCGGTGAGCCCACAGTAAGGATCAGGCCCTTATAAACTTGGGAACAGTCCTATTTAAAGCCAAATAAATATGTGGCTCGCAGACACCCCGAGACATTCACTAATAAGGCCTTTGGTGTCTGCGGGTAATTTTGTGTGCTTTTTCTTCTTCCCATCTTCTTTCCACTTACGCTGCACAGTTGCTGTTGATCTGCTATATAAGTACTCCGAGACGACATGGTTTCCATTTTCTGTTGCTGCGGAATAAGCCGTTAGCATGTCGTGGCTTAGCCGTGGGTCTGGCACTTGGGCATGGGTGGCTGAAGCCGCTGGTGTCTGGCTGGGCGGTTTTCTCTGCATGACCTCTCCATGCAGCTGTCTCGCGCCTCCTCACAGCACGATGGAGGCAGGATAGTGAGACTTTTTACATGGCGCCTGGCTTCCAAGGAGGAGGAAACAGAACTATCAGGTCTCTTAATAAAGCTGGGCCCCGAAGACTGAGTATCATTTTCTTGCCTTTTGTTTTTTGATCACCTCATAAGTCTAGACCAGATCTGAGGATGAGATAATGTAGGTTCTACCTCTTCCTGAGTAAACCTCACACACACACACACACACACACACACGGAATGCAGGACTTCTTTGGAGATGACTAATCACAGGCATCATGTCACCCTGTGAACAAATCCAAATGTGTGTTGAGTTAAGCGGCTCAACTTGGTCAGCTCTCAGCCTCCGTGACAGTCACAGTGAACTCATCTGTAGTGAGCATTCCTGATTCTCTCGTTTCTTCACTTGTCCTTGGTGCTTGAAACAAATGTCAGCGAGAAAGACAAATAGAAATAAATCCACTAAATATTGGACTGACGTTGTAGAAAATTTGGGAAATGCCTTGTGACTCCTAGACTGGCTCACAGCACCATGTAGGATGTTCTCTTTCCTTCCGTTATGCTCATCCCACTGGTTATATCACAGAAGGTCTGTCTGAGGCCTTTGAGTCCCGCCTCCAATGTCCCAAGACTACCTCAACCACAAAACTAAAAAACCAACTTGCTGTTTATATATTAAAAACATTTTACAGGCTACTGGGAAAATGTGACTACAAAAAAATAGGCATAATAATACAGTTTTGCACCTTTGGGTGACTTCAGATTACTTTGTTATATTCCATTGAACTGCACTGCAAGTAAAGCATAAAGACTGTCTGCTTGTCCCCAGGAGGTCACCATCGTGGAGCGGCAGTATGTGCAGGACCGGATTCCCTCCTGGACCGGAGCGGGCTTCGTCCAAGTGCCTGAAGGGGCTTATTTGGAGTTTGTCATTGACAACATACCATACTCCATGGAGTATGAAATCCTAATTCGCTACGAGCCACAGGTAAACCCCCCATGAATTATTGGGGATGGGGAGGGTATTGGTAGAGAAGTCATTCCTCTAATGGACACTGTTTTTGTGAAATTCCGAGGTTACGCTGGAATAGAGGAGAACTTCTCTCTGACTTTCTAGCCTCCAGGGAAGTGAAAATGTACAGTTTTCTTGAATTCAATTTCAGGGGCATTTAGCAATCTCTTGGCAGGCGCCTAACCCTGCTGAGAACTGAGGTGGCGGCAAGAATGTACCAGGTCCTGTCCTTGCCCTCAGGGCCTGCACTTCCCAGGCACAGACACACGCCCCTAACCGTAAGATCAGAATGAGAGCCTCTCACTTGGAGGCTGGGCCAGGGCTGCCTAGAAACAGATGTAGGCCTTGCCTTCAACGTAGATGACATTTTGACACGAGGAAGTCAGGAGTAGCGTGAGCAGCGGAGAGGAGAGTGTTTTGAGAATCATCCCACATAGCTGGGTGTAAGGGAAATGGTCAGGCATGCTGCTAGGAAAGATGCTAGCACCAGTGAATGAACTTGGGCTCTCTATGAAGAGGAAGCTATTGAAGGTTTTGAGCAGGGGATTGCCATGATCTGACCTGTGTTTTAACATGGGTGGGAAGGGACGCTGGGAGATGCAGGGAGAGCAGTTGGGGAGCTGTTTCAGGTCCAGGTGAGAAGGGATTAGGGCTGGAACTGGGGTGATAGCAGAGGAAATGGTAAAGAGGGAAGAGAAACGCAAGCAAGAGTTCTCCAGTGAAACTTGGCAGAGGTCTTTTAAACAGGAGCAGTGGGCCAGTGACGATGGTCCTTTTGATTGGTTGTTTCTTCTTCTAGCTCCCCGACCAATGGGAAAAGGCTGTCATCACGGTGCAGCGACCCGGGAAGATTCCAACCAGCAGCCGATGTGGTAACACAGTTCCTGACGACGACAACCAGGTGGTGTCCTTGTCGCCTGGGTCGAGGTCAGTGTGACAGCGGTTTGCAGCTCAATAGAACCGATATGCAAATTAAACATTTTCTCTATTTTTCGGTATCTTGCCTTGTGCGTTGTACAGTTACCATGTCAGGGCCAAAGGCCAACACTGACTGTTGACTTGCTTGCTTCGGAAAGAGCTGCGTCGCGCTCTGATTGACCGACTGGATACTTAAAGGTTGACATTCTTTGTTCTCTTTTGATCTGGGGCAGGTACGTCGTCCTCCCGCGCCCCGTGTGCTTTGAGAAGGGCGTGAACTACACAGTCAGGTTGGAGCTGCCCCAGTACACCACCTCCGATAGCGGTGTGGAGAGTCCCTACACGTTTATCGATTCAGTAAGTGCAGGGCTGTTTCCGACACGCGCAGGGAAGGCTGGGCGGGAAGTGTTCATCTTCTTCCCCGGAGGGTTTGTGGAGGGGTCGTGCTGAGAGGCTAGGCAGAGTCATCTTTTTACCTCCAAGGATGCTTTGCTTATTTATTTTAGTAACACCCCTCCGCTGGCCCTAGTTGAGTGGCTCAGTTGTTTGAGCATCGTCCTGTGCACTCAAAGGTTGCTGGTTCGATTCCCCGTCAGGGCTTATACCTGACTTGTGGGTTTGATCCCAATCGGAGCACATGTGGAAGGCAACAGATCGGTGTTTCTCTCTCCCTCTCTTCCTTCCTCTCTCTAAGCATGTCCTCAAGTGAGGATTTAAAACAAAACAAACAAACAAAACTCCACCCTCTGATTCTTTCTAAAATATGAAATGTCTTAAAAATGACACTTCAAAAAACCATCAATCTAAACTCTTTCTGGCAAGAAGATTTTAAGAATGGGAAGGCTTATGAAAAGAATCGAACTTTTTCTTTTCAAGAGTCAAAGAAGCATTTGGGGTTTTTGTGTGTGTACTTGCTTTCATTGTGGACACGGGGCACCAGTGTAAGAACACTTTGCTAATCTCGTTTCTTCACAGCTTGTCCTCATGCCGTTCTGTCAGTCACTGGACATCTTCACCGTGGGCGGTTCGGGGGATGGGGCTGTCACCAACGGCGCCTGGGAAATCTTTCAGAGATACCGATGTCTGGAGAACAGCAGAAGCGTTGTGAAAACGCCCATGACTGACGTTTGCAGGAACATCATCTTTAGCATTTCTGCGCTGATACACCAGACAGGCTTGGGTAGGTGTTAGCAAAGCTACTTCTGCCCCTTTTTCTTGAGAGCCAAGAGTACACCTGGCATCGTGAGGTACGTGGGAAAGCACGCCGTATAGATAGCTGTTAGGCAGTCAGCACAGGAAAAATCGTGTCTCAACATCTGTTTGCCTTTAGCCCTAGCCGGTTTGGCTCCCTGGCCTGGTTGGGGCACGTGCGGGAGGCAACCAATCGATGTGTCTCTCTCACATCGTGTTTCTCTCTCTGTGTCTGTCCCCCTCCCTCCCACTGTCCCTAAAAATCAATGGAAAAATATCCTTGGTTGAGGATGAACAACAACAAAAAATAGTTTGTCTTTTTTTTTTTAAGAATATTTCAGTGATAAAGCCCCATTGCAAATGCAGTCAATATTCAAGACACACACAGGGGCGGCAGGAGGCAGCAGCGTGTCCACGGGCAGGGTGGGCCGCTGGGACGGGGTCAGAGGAGCCATGCAGAACTGAAATGTGGTTTTCTCTTTGAAAGGTCGGACCATCTCCCAGAGGTCCCTGGGCCTTTGTCTTAAGGTCCTGTGATATTTAAGCCTTGAAGGAGAGAAAACCTTAACGGCCTCTTCCTAGAAAAACTGCTTGTATCTGCCAACTCTGTGTGTCCTGTGGCTTCCCTCCTGCTCATCACAGGGATGAGATTGGTTTCCGTGGGAATTCTGAATCAGCCCAGGGAGTCAGGGAAGAAGGACCTGAGAGATTCCCCAGGGAAGGGACAGGCCGGGTGGGAGCCGGGGGTGACAAGCTGCCCCCCTTCGTGAGAGGAGCCGCCGCTGTGTCCCAGGTGGTGACCTCTTTTTCCCCTGCAGCTTGTGAGTGCGACCCGCAGGGCTCGTTAAGCTCCGTCTGCGACCCCAACGGAGGCCAGTGCCAGTGCCGGCCGAACGTGGTTGGGAGAACCTGCGACAGATGTGCTCCCGGGACCTTCGGCTTTGGCCCCAGTGGCTGCAAACGTAGGTTAACCTGACCGTAAGGTACTCGTTCGGATGACCTGGCAAACCCTGGTGTGGTTCCCCCGCCTCGGAGGCACTGCTTCCCTCTGGGAGTCGGTCCCGGGCGCCGTGGGCCTCCTGTGTTCGCACGGGATGAGTTTCTCAGGTGGCTCCCCGCTTGCGTGTCTCTCCAGCGTGCGACTGCCACCTGCAGGGGTCTGTCAGTGCTTTCTGCGACCCCGTCACCGGCCAGTGCCACTGCTTCCAGGGGGTGTACGCGCGGCAGTGTGACCGGTGCCTGCCCGGGTACTGGGGCTTCCCGAGCTGCCAGCCCTGCCACTGCAACGGCCACGCCGACGACTGCGACTCGGTGACGGGGGAGTGCCTGAGCTGCCAGGACTACACCGCGGGTCATCACTGCGAGAGGTACGTGGACGCGCCTCTGGAAAGTAGAGAACAGAGATCGTGTTTGGCTGAGTCAATATCTTCCAACCACAGAAGGACTCTCACCGGCTCCAGATGGCTCGGTCGTTTCTGACCGCGTCAGGATTTTCTAGGAACTCAGTCATTCGCCGAGTGCCTAGCTGGTTTACACCTTCTGTGTGCAGGCAGGCATTGTTCCGGGGCTGGGATGTGCCCGGCGGGCATCTGCCCTCTTGGAGGGGGCGTCCTGGAGGCCGCCGTAGGTCTGTGCGTAAATCACCTCTGTCCCAGCAGATTCTGGCGGAGGATGAGAATTGTGAAATGTTGATGCCTAACTTCAGGCAAACGGGAAACCCAATCCAAATGGGATGAGTCATTTTAAATAGCTTTGTGTTGTGTGTGTTTTTTAAAACATTTTATGTAGCTGTAGTTTCCAGGAGACCGGCCCACATAAATGTGCAAAAGTAGATCTGCTCTGCAGTCAGCAGATGTGAACGGGAGAGTTGTTGTGGATGCAAAGCACTGCACTGGGTGGAATAAGCATGGGACATAGAACGTGCTTCTAATAACATGACAGCCCTGCTCGCTCCATAAGAAATAGTCCCTGTGAGAGAATGACATGCTGACTTAACTATTCATCACTAATTAAGAAAGGCAGACGTGCTATTAGAACCTGCCTTTTTTTTTTAGTACTGGTCTTCACCCTCCATGTCAATAAATTTTCTCTTTTAATATCCGCCCACTCTATATGGGATTTTTGTTTTTAAAATTTCAGCAAGTCGCCTCAGTCAGTACAAAAGTCGCTCATCACATGAAAGAGAAATTGTTAGTAAAAATGAATATGTGATTAACTTATGGCATGAAGGGGTGCATGGAAGCCAATGTGTGGCTCTTGGCTCTGTGCTAGAGGGTATTCAAGAATTTGGAGGTTCCAGTGATTACTTCTTTGAGTAAAAATTACTCCTTCCAACCACAAAACTGTGTTGTAAAAGGCTATAAGGAAAGAATTATACAAGATTGGAAGAAAGAAATTAGTATATTGGTGTCCTCTCTTGTTTTCTGCATTAAGTTTCCTATTTTTTCAATGGGAGATAGAAAATGAATTAGGGAAAAGGAGACAGATGAGAAAATCAGATTACGAGGGGAGCACAGTCAGCAAAGGTGGTGTCCACATGCCGATTCGCAATCAGCACACTGTGTAACGTCTTTGCAAGAACATCCTGGGAGAATGGCTTGGTTTATATTTCCGACTGTTCTTGGATTTACTTTAAAGCATTTTGATTTATTGCTGGACAAGGAGAGAGGATGTGGGAGGAGGAAAGATTTAGCCCTAGTTTGGATGACAAAACTTTATTAAGTAATTTACTTCTTGCTTGAGCCGATTTCTCATCATTCTTTTCCTTTTCCAAGATAATTAGTATCAAGCCCATGGATTTAAAAAGAAGCTCCAGGCTCAGATTGTCCCCGACGTGGGAAGTGGAGGGGGAGCCAGGAAATGGACACTCAGTTTCTGTCATGATGTATTTGGGTTTATTTCACCTAGAAAACTTTCTCAAAACCCAGTGCTTCACCACCACCAGTTCCCCCAGCACATGGTTAATTTCCTTTGAACAACTTTTCCCTTCTATTTCTTCATCTTCCCCCACTCCCGTTTAAAAAATAGTACCTCTGCCTCAAAAAAGAAAAAAATATACATGAAAAACCAACTGAATCGGAAATCCTTAGACCTGAGTTCCAGGCCCTGTCCTGCCTCTGACCTGCTTTGTTACCTTGGAGGAGTGATCTCACTTTTCCAAGTATCCAACTTTCTCTTCGTGAATAACTAGGTTGGATTGGATGATCTTCAAATTCCTTTACGCTCTTAGGTTATAGGAAGTAAGCAAGTAACCTAAACACCATTCATATTGAGAAGCAGCATGACCTAGTCCAAGAATTCCTTGCTGAAAGTCAGGAGGCTGGATGCAAATCCTGGCTCGTTACTAACGAGTTGTGTAAGCCTCGCAAATCAGTTAACTGCCAAGCGTTCCTTATCTGCGAGGAGAGGAGGTGGGACGTAGGAGTTGATGAATAGCATTCCTCACCCCTGACCAACTTTGAAACCACCTGAGAGAGAGACGCAAGAGTCGTGCAGCTAGAACGCTTCCTTGTCAGCTCTGTTTCTGGTAAAGGCTGGGTTGCAGAACATCCACCGTGGGCTGGCTAGCATGTCACCCTCTCAGGCAGAGGCAGAGGCAGACAACCACAGGTCCCCCCACCCCTTCCCCAGACTCGGTGCAAGGAGGGAGCCGACCAGAAGCAGGCGGGCAGCTGACGGGACAGTGGGGTGCACATGGGAGATACACCTCTTTCCCTGGGAAGAAGGTAGGGAGGGTCCAGGTGAGGCCAGGGGTGGCACCCTAATGCAATGGCCCTGCAAGTGTGAAACCAGACCAGCAGTGTCGGCATTACCTGGGGCCACCTGAGTCAGAAACGGGAGAAGCCCAGCAGTCTGAGTTATAACAAGCCCTTTTGGGGGATTCTGATTAGAACTAATGTTTGAGAACCACTGTTCCATTGGGAAGTGTGTTCCCAAACAGAGAATGCAGTTTCTAAGACGTTTTCTCGTAGCAGGTTTCTTACAAGTCTGGTTCAGGGCCCTCTCTGTTTTGTGACTGATGTAGGTGCTTGGCGGGTTACTATGGCGACCCCATCATTGGGTCAGGAGATCACTGCCGCCCTTGTCCCTGCCCAGACGGTCCCGACAGCGGACGCCAGTTTGCCAGTAGCTGCTATCAAGATCCTGTCACTTTACAGCTCGCGTGTGTCTGTAACCCTGGGTACATTGGTAAGTAACGTAGAAACTCCTGAAGGGAGAGAGGTGTCTTCTATGAGTCAGTTGTTAATGAAGGAAATAGATGAAGAATGAGCCCATCCTTCATTACCAGGGAAGGGAATCTGAAAAGATACTCTTTTCTTGTTTGGCACGTGAGATAGAGTCGTTCTTGAGTCTCGATGATAATAATGTTACAGTACCGAGCAGGAGAGCAAGCTCATTTGAATCCATAAACAAATCCCTGTGAACACTTTTAATTTACATTTGACCTCTCCCTTCCCTTGGCCAGCTCCTAGCACAAGACTCTCAAAGGAGTGATGTGGCCAATGGACGGACAGAAGGAAGAAAAGAATATCATGTAGGGGGTGCCCAGGGCACCGAGTCAGCCAACGCTAGATACGTTCTTCTGGTTGGTTATACTTACGTTATCTGTCAACACTCAAGGAGTGTAGCGAGTTGTGAAAAGAAACTCCCTTTTATTTCACACTTGATCCCATGCTTTCAAATACTAGTTACACTTATCCACAGCTCAGTAAACATTTACCTGTGGTTTCGGGATTTCTTAGGGAAGTTGGTCATCATGAAGGACCCCATTTTTCAGGTTGCTCAGGCAGGAGCAGTGATTTTTCAGGCAATACAATCCTTGGATTAGGATTTAACACCAAGCTAAGCATTACCCATTAGATCATTAATTTAGCTCCTAATCTGCTCGATTCCTGGGTCGTGAGAAGCTAAATGCCCCTGTGCCGGAACTCCTGCAGGTGTCCATGCCCCCTGTGGCCTCTGAGCCAGGCCGCAGCAGTGTTACTTACAGAAGCCTGGCTCTCCCCCTACCCCCCCCCCCTGCCAGGATGTGGGAGGGAACCCCGAGCTGGGTGACTGGTGTGGCGAGGAGCACAGCCGGGCTGACTCTCGGCAGGAATGTGGATGGACCGGGCCTTGGTGTCCGCAGGCTAAAGGTCTTGCGCTTGGTTTCATTGAACAATAGGCTCCAGATGCGAGGACTGTGCCCCGGGCTTCTTTGGCAATCCCTCTGATGTCGGAGGGGCGTGTCGGCCTTGCCACTGTCACCACAACATTGACACGACCGACCCAGACGCCTGTGACAAGGAGACTGGGAGGTGCCTCAGGTGCCTGTACCACACGGAAGGGGAGCACTGCCAGCGCTGCCGCTTCGGCTACTACGGGGACGCCCTCCAGCAGGACTGTCGGAGTAAGATGGGCACTCGTTGTGCCGCTTATTGGGAGGGTTTCCACTTTCTTCTTCATGGGGGATCCCCTTCTTCTGGTATTTCTTTGCTTTGGGAATACACTTGTCCCTTGTTCGGAGAGGTAAAAGTCCTCTTTTGGCAAAAGAAAGATGAGACTGATCTTTTCTTTCTTTCTTTTCTTTATATCCTCATTTTCTAGCAGAACTGAAGTCTCAAGGTATGACTCAGTGCCTGAGAGAGACAACCAAAAGGAAAAACTGTGTAGCTGATCCATGCCATCCAATAAAGTGTATTGATTTTATCCAGGTCCTGCCCAGGAAGCTGCTGGTTGGCTAGGACTTGGAGATCCTCGATGCCCACTCTGGTCCATGCCTTGTCTGCCATTGATGGACAGAGCCTCCTAGATTGAGGAAAAGAAAGAACCACCTCTAATGTCTCTCTTTCAGAACTTTCTTATTTCTTTCTTACCGAGATCAGGGAGCATTGCCTGCTGTTCCTGTGCACAGCCCCAGGCCCCGTCTTTGTTTATGCAAACACGTGTGGAATGTTGAGGACCTGCAGGGCTGGATTCCTTCAAGTCTTACTAGCTTAAGGGCTCCTATCTGCTGTCTCACACATCCATTACTGCCAGCTCCCTGCCAAGAGTTTGAAATCATTAAATGTCTCAGTTCCCACGGCATATTTTTTAAATTATTTCTAGTGAAATCCTCAATTTAAAAATGGTTCACCAGCATCTTATTAAAGGTGCATAGTATTTTGAAAATTCTGCTACACAGAGCGTGCCGTGGTGCACGTCTGCCTGGGGAACGTCAGGGCTGTGCAGAATAGAACATCCTCAGAACCTCTGAAGAACAGTAGCTGGAGTTCCTTGTGTGTATGTGGTGTTTTTAGTTTTTTTTTACCACCTCCATTCTTTTCACTGCTTATTTGCATTTCCAGGTTGCAACCTGGAGAGGGAACATCTTAGCCCTTGGGAGGTGGCTAGCTCACTTGCATTGCCTGTGTAGTTTATGAACGTGACTGTGTGAGTCAGTCTGGTCGTGTTCTTTTTCCAGAGTGTGTCTGCAACTCCCTGGGCACCGTGCAGGACTACTGTAACAGCTCCGACTGCCAGTGCGACAAAACCACCGGCCAGTGTCCGTGTCTTCCCAATGTGGTCGGGCAGAACTGCGACCGCTGTGCCCCCAATACCTGGCAGCTGGCCAGCGGGACTGGGTGTGACCCATGCAACTGTGATGCGGCTCATTCCTTCGGGCCGTCCTGTAATGAGGTGAGGTGCTGTGGGGGGCGGGCGGGGAGGCCTCAGGGCTGAGGAAAGATGCCTTTATGAATCCAGGGGACCGCTGTTTGGTGCCTTTGTGTCAGAGAGAGGAAGGCTCCTTCCTGGTGGCCCAGCTTTTCTTGCCGCAGGACCCACAGCTTGGCAAACATAGCACAGACTGCCTGTCAGCCGTCACTTGTTCCCCTCGGCTGGGGCATCACCATACCTGGAGGCCCCATCCGATGCAGCCGTGGCCTTTTAATAGAGGGCCCCCCCTTCCCCCGCTGCCGACCCACATTAGAAGGTCCCTGGCTGCTGGATCAGACTGCTTCCTTAGCCACATGGCCTGAAAGGCAGCCCCGGCAGCACTGTCAGAGCTGCTCAGGGACACACCCTTGGGAAGGAAAGGAGGGCTACCCGGCAGGTGAGCCCAGGGGCCTGTCCGTGAGGTGAAGAAGCATGTAATGAGATGTGATGTGCTCGGCACAGGGGCAGCTAGCCCCTGGCACCCAGGACAGAGGTAGGACTCCCTCTCCAGTCAGGGTGTGGAGGCCTCAGGCCAGCTGCTCAGTCCCATTCCCCTAACTGGCAGCCAGGAAGGAGAGTGTGACGGGCGTGTGCCCTGCAGCCCGCTGACGGAGACCTGTTTCTGGCTGCAGTTCACAGGGCAGTGCCAGTGCATGCCTGGCTTTGGGGGGCGCACCTGCAGCGAGTGCCAGGAGCTCTTCTGGGGAGACCCCAACGTGGAGTGCCGAGGTAAGGCCGCGGCTGGTGTTTGCTCAGAGTGGAGGGAACAGCTTTGTGTAAACTCTAAAGTGCAGCGCAAATTAAGTTGTCGATACAAACTCTATGTTTAATGACAAAATGAATTCACACTCATTGGTTTAAAAATCTAACAACCTGGCCCTGTGGAAGTGTGGGTAGTGAAAAATGGACCTGCTGTGTTCCTCCTTAAAATGCTTGTTTGTCTCTGCACAGACTCACACACATACAGGTATCACAGATACACAAAATTGCTTCTTAAAATGCTTTTCTACAAAATGCTTATAGCAGCCAGGTATTTCGATAAACTGGTAAACCCTCAGCATTGGTGCCATGTGCAGCATCCCCGCAACGGGGAACTGCAGGGCACAGTCATGGGCACCTTCATGCACAGCAAGGCAAACAGGACAGGAGTTCCAGGTCTGTCGATGTGAATAAAGCCCAGACTCCTACCGAAGCTTCTGGTAGAATAGGACTGGGAGAGAGAACCTGACATTTTGTTAAGAACAGAAACCTGTTAAAATCCTATGAATCATTAGGATTGCTCAAGTCTTATGCTGTAGCAGTATATATTTTTTTGACCTGCCAGATTACTTTTCAGATATGGGAGTAAAAACATTTACAGAAAAGATTTTAAAAGATTGTGTCTATTCTGTTTTCCTATTTGGCTTTCTTCCCTATGTTTTAAGTTTACAACTATAGATAAATATCTTCTGTAGTTTCATACTTGTTCTTTGATATCTTTTCTTTGTTACATATCTGAAATTCTGGGTCCCTGTTGGACTCTAAATTTAAAAATTATCTTTTTCTTTCTTTTCTTTTTTTTAATTTAAAGAATACTTGATTAGTTTCTGTAATCAAACCCAGGTAGATTAAGACCTTACATATTTAATACAGTGTATTATCCCTGTACAAATGGGAAAAAAATTATGTTTAATGTATCTTTTTCTTTTTTGGGTACAACCGTAGTGAGAACGTTAGCAGTACATTTAGTTTTCTCCTACCGAAGGTCACAGACCCAGATACTATGTGTTCTTTAAGTCAACCACGGTTCCTGAACAGCAGGAACATTTCAAACAGTGGACAAGACCAGAACAAAGGGCATATGACTTGTTTCTCCAATTGAGGCTTAGCCAGAGGACTTGGACCAACATCTTAAGTTAGGTTAGGGTTTGTTCCACAAAGGACATGATGTTTGCTGTGTCAATAAACAAGTGCTTTTTCATTCATCGGTCCTCGGTCCAGATGTTGGTTTTAATGGGAGCTGATTTTCTCACTACCATTCAATGCCCAGGACATGCCATGCACCACGTGCGCCAAGATATCTCCTGCGAGGAAAACCCTGCTTGGAATCTGGTTTCCCCAGAGTTCTAACCGCTATTCTGCTACACCCCTCAATCTTGTAATGGCCCTAAGGTCCCAGCGGCTTGATTTCCCCCAGATAATGGCTCTATCATTGCTCATACCCGATTCTATTAGCATGTGTCACTGGGAAAATTGTGTTGGCTGCCAAAGCGTTCTGACCTTTTCGCTCCATCTCAGCGCAGTTCGCATGAAAAGCCTGTGACCGGAGCCAGAGTCCATCAGAGAATGGTCCATTTAGTACTCGGATCTTTACCCTTTATCTTTAAAGTCTTGGCTCTCAACCTGCCAGAAAAATTGTGGCGTAGGAACAGTGTCAGTTTTATTTGGGTCAAAAGTTGATCATGCTTTGGAAACTTTGCAAAGAGCGAAAGCCACGAACTGTTTGCCAAACTCGTTGTTTTGCCCAGAAAAAAGGTCAGTCCGTTACATAAGAAACTTGGGGCCCAGATGCCCCTGACACCCTGTGGAGGAAGCTCTTGGTTCAGAAAGTGTCCAGCGGGAGTGAGAAGTGACTTAACCCCGGGCAGGCCCTGCGCAGAGCCGTGTGCCGGGAGGCAGTAGGAGCAGGACCAGGGCAGGGACCAAAAATGCAGAAGCGGATGGGGTCGGGGCTCTCCGTGCGCTGGGATGTCGTCACTAATGGCAATGGGAGGACAAGAACTTGAAGGGACTGGACCCCCAGTGATCGGCAGGGACCAGAACGGTTATCGTTGGAAATTAGAGGGAACTATGAGAAAAGAATGCGACCCCTTTTCTCACATTACATAATGAATCGCCAAGTTGTCTTCAACTTCAGATCTTCCAGTCAAACAGGGCACGGGTTTAGACTTTGTGGTGCCACCTCAGTCACAATAACCTTATAGAAAGCCGAGGCCCTCGCTAAGCATTCTCCTCGTGGAGGAGAAATGCCGTTACGTAAAAGACAAATCAGTAGAGGCTCCAACATATAAATTGTTGAATGTTCCTATTGTCCGGGCGGGTTGAGGCGCTGGGCCGATCGTGCCAAGTCTGAACAAGCCCACCACTGTGCTGGGATGGAGAGAGAACGCGCCCGCCCACGGCTGACCATGTCAGAGACAACCTCAGCCTGAGCTCTGCGCCGGGCCCCTCGGAGTCCACGGGTCAATGAGGAACCTCTCTGTGGACCCAGAGAGAGCAAAGAGTCGCGCGTCTTGGGAAAGGCCAGTGTTCCTTCCACCCGGGCAGGCGGGAAATGTGGGCCAGAGGTGGGACGCTCTGGGCAGTGGCCGTCATGCTTGTTTCTCATTTCACATGTTTTAAGTCGAAAAATGAAGTCCATTTCTTTGGTCGGGCATACATTTTTAGAATTTTGTATTCCTTTCTCGGCCTGGGATTCATTTACAACCCCTTTATCCTTTATTTATTGTCAGTGTGACTCAGGAAATCAGATTTAATTTGGTTCTTTAGAGAATCACCATACTCTTGTTAGTAGAGGGAAGGGTTGTCTTACATAATTCTGGTCACAGGGCATGGTCCCTGAAGAGCTGGGCTGTGCCAGAGGCAGGCAAACCATGGCCAGGTGCCAAGTACAGCTAACTGTCTGTCAGTCAGGTTTCATTGGGCAGAGCTGTGCCCGTGTGTGACGAATTGTCCAGCGCTGCCTTCACGCTGCAATGCCAGAGCTGAATAGTGTGACGGAGACCAACTGGCCTGCAAAGCCTAAATATTTACTATCTGAGCCTTGATAGAAAAAGTTTGCTTACCCCTGGACCAGACGGCCAGCTGCTTTCTGCAGGTGAAATCGTAGTCACTCTCCAATTTTCATTCCAAAACCGAAGTTATATTACTGAGGCTAAAAAGGAGGCAGGGCTGAGGGAGGGAGAGGATGTAAAGCAAAAACCAACACATTTAAGAGATTAAAAATTTTAGGTTTCCTGCCCTTACAGTAGAATGGAAATGCCGAGGTAAGGTGTCAGTAAACTTTTGGGCGTGATACCTGGAGTCCCGTGTCACTTTGGGACAAGGTTGCTGGCAGAAAAGAATGGACCCCGTTTCCTGGTGGTTGGATGTAGCACCTCCCCTGGCCCTGGTGGGTTTGTTTCAGAAGGAAAGGTAGAGAACCAACACAGCCCTGAGCGCGGCCCACTGGGCCTGCAGGGCGTGGACACACGAGACAAGCTGCCATCTGAACCGGAGGCACTTGCAGGCTCTCTGGGGAAACAGGGCAAAGTAGTGCAATGGAGGGGGAAGAAACCTGTGGCGGAGACCTTTTTCCCTGTCAGAGAGGCCAGACCAGCAGGAGCTAAAGTCGTCGGGCAAGGTTTCATAGGAAAGGTCAGCTCTAGTCGTTGACGGAGCATTTGCCGTGTGCTGAGCGCTTTTAGGGATATGGGATGCAAATTCTTGATTTTATCCTTAAAACAATTTGTGAGTGAAGTGTAATCTCCGTTTCACAGTCTAGAGCTCTCTCAGGCTCAGAGAGGTTAAGTGATTTGCCCAAAGACAAATGCAAGTGAGGACCTGCTGTGATATTTAGAGAGAGAGAATTGTTGTTCTGGCTAAAGGACCGTAAGGACAGCATGTAGCAGCAAGACTGGGGTGGGAGGGGTGCCCCCAGGAAACGGTTTCACTGGACAGAGTCATGGAGAGATTCGGTTTCACCAGATTGTGAAAAGCCTTGTATACCAAGCCATGGAGGCAGACTTCCTTCAGTGGGCAGAGGAGGGCTGGAGAAGTGAGGAAGGGTATGAAAAGCAGAAAGATTCTACCTACTGACAAAGAGGTCCATTGGTTGTTTCCCATTCTCGCATTGACTTACTAGGGTTTTTTTCCCCCCCAGGCCTCAGTATCTATTAAATGGTGCAATACTCTTCATTTCCCTACCTTTCAGAGAGCCTGTTTGAAATGATAAGAAAACTTGGTAAAAGTGGAGGAAATCTACTGACCCCATAACCAAGAATATATTTACAGACGAAGGTGGAATTCTTATGGCCCATTGAAAATGACTGTCTCGTTTTCAAAGTGCTATTCTTCATCATCCTGCTTGGTTCACTTTTGCTATATACTCTCTCCTTCTTTCCAAGAGAAAATTTTTGAACCTCTGCCCCCAAATCCCATTTCTTAAAGCAAGGCTGAGCTACAGGTCCACCTGGTCGCCTCTCCCTTTCCCTTGAGAGAGGGGAAAATCCCCTGGAGCTCATCCGAGATGGTCTGCACTGTGCAATGTTATAGAGGCCCGTGAGTGTAAGAGATGATTGGAGAATCTCCTTCATAGTATGTGTCCGGGAAGTTTAAATTGTCAGGTGAGAAGCAACCTTTCCACTTCAGTCAAAAAATACTCTTGGGGCGTCTTTTTACCCGGTTGGAGAAGCAATTCTGGTCAATAGGCAGGGAAGGAAGCACATGTCCTCAGGAGCGTTAGCCGTTTCCCAGCTGCAATTTGAAATGAAAACCTTATGCATGTTAGACATTTGGTATCTTTTCAGAGAGAGATCAGAATCAGTTTTTCATTGATGAAACTGCAGTCCAGCCATCTGTGAAATTTGACTCTACTTTTCAATTGAAGGAAAGGAATGTTGGTCAGTTCAGCTGAACTGGTCCTTGTCTACTGGAAATAGCTGAATTCCTGCCGGCCCTTCAGAATACTGCTCTTAGAGGGACAGGATCCAGAGATCGGCAGGAACAAGAATAGGTGTCACCCCAAATTAGATGGAGTATGGGAAAAGAACGTGGCTGCTTTTTTCAAATTATGTAGTTAATTGCCAAAAATGTCCAGTGGAATCGTTTGTTGAACAGAATTTTAGACCTCCTGTTGCCACCTTGTTAGCAATATGTTCATGGAAAGACTTAAACCAGGGGTCCTCAAACTATGGCCCGCGGGCCACATGCAAATACAAATATTGTATTTGTTCCCGTTTTGTTTTTTTACTTCAAAATAAGATATGTGCAGTGTGCATAGGAATTTGTTCATAGTTTTTTTTTAAAACTATAGTCCGGCCCTCCAACGGTCTGAGAGACAGTGAACTGGCCCCCTGTTTAAAAAGTTTGAGGACCCCTAACTTAAACCATAGCCAGGTATCCTCCTTATGGGGAAAAAACATGGTTATGTAAAAGACAAATGAGGAAAACCTTAATGGGAGTGCACTTGCCTTTTCTTTATTTTTTTAAATCCTCACTCAAGGATATGTATATCTTCTTTTTTTTTTTTTAATTGATTTTTAAAGAGACAGGAAAAGAGAAACATCAAAGTGAGAAACATTAATCAGTTGCCTCCCTTACATGCCCCAACGGGGATCTAGTCCACAACCTAGGTATGTTCCCTGACCAGGAGCAGAACTCGCAACCTTTTGGTGCCCAGGCCAACACTCTAACCACTGAGCAACACCGGCCAGGGCTATGACCACTCTTTTTTCTCTTCATCCAATGGAAATGTGATCAAGCAACACTTTGAGCAGGAGACCACCTGGTGCTTACATGGACACAGAAAGTAATAGTAATAAAAAGCATTTACTGAGTGCCTACTGTGAGTCAGCCCTTCCCTGAAGCACTTTAGAATTAAGTTATTTCATCCTGAAAGCAGTCCTATGAGTTAGGTATACTCATGACTCCTTTTTTACAGATAAAGAAACTGTGACTCAGTTTCCTTGCCACCCAGGGCCACATTGCTGGGGTGTGGGGATGGCAGGGTTCACAACCAGGCAGTGGAGCCCACAGGCTGTGCTCTGACCATGACACTGTACTGCGCAAACTTGCCACTCCAGCACTTGGGTGTAGTTGGCCAACAAAGGCAATGAAAACAACCAATAATATAAGGCAGGATGTAGGGAGAATCAGATGCAAGGTCCCAGGCTGCAAACACATCTCTCTGGGTTTGGAGGATAGAGGTGCTGTGAGCAGCTCTCAGGACGTCAATAAGACTGGGTCTAGGCAGTGGTTCTCAACCTGTGAGTCGCGACCATCGGAAAACACATATAGCATATCAGATATTTACATTATGATTCATAACAGTAGCAAAATTATAGTTATGAAGTAGCAACGAAAATAATTTTATGGTTGGGGGTCACCACAACATGAGGAACTGTATTAAAGGGTCGCGGCATTAGGAAGGTTGAGAACCACTGCTAGAGGATGTTTCAATTAGGGAGTCTTTCAGAGGCAAGTCATCGCTATTGGCCCAAGGAGATTTTATAAAGGCATCTGAGAGAGTATGGGTCTGTTGTGCTGTGGTCACCGCTGACATTTTAGGAGGATTATTTTCTTTTATAGAGGCGTGTAAATGTCCCTCGAATGCCTGTACCAGAAATGAGGTCAGGGCCTCATTTGGCAAAGACAACTCCAGTTTGCAAGTTAACCCTGTGCTCGGTGCTGAGAATGGAAATAGGGCCCTGGAATCCTGTCTAGTTATGGAAATAAGACATTCGGGTTGCTTTTCATTAATCCACACCTTTTCCCAGAAAGGATTTAAGGCAGAGATCAGATGTGTGCACAGGTTTTTTGTTATTTAAATTCTATGCAAATACTCAGAAATGTCAAGTGTTGACACAAAAGTAAGTTTTTCACCTGAGATTTGAGACTGTAGCCAGGGGTCAGTGGCACAGGCGTTGTGATGAGTAATCTCAGCCACCGTCCACTGGCCAGTCTTCCTTGGCACCATCAGGCTCTGCCTAAGATGCAGCCCGCCCAGCCAGGGAGAGGGTGGGACTGGAGTGGCTTCCATCACTGACCTCTCGAGAGCCTGAGCTGTGAGCGGTCATTAGTGGCAGCTCCCACAAGTTAGATTGTCCTTAGTAGAAAGCCTTTGAACTAGATCCTTAGGATTCCCGTGACTTGTTTCGGATTTAGTTTCCTTTTAATCGAGTTTATTGCATTTCGCCAAGTATTCACCATTCTGTTTCGTGACCAGGTAGGGCGAGGTGTTAGGAGCTGCTCTTCAGTGTTGTATCTTAGGCCAGATGCCTCCTGGCATCAGGAAGTCACCTGACTTGTCTGTCCTGATAGGGTCTAAAGGGAAGCCCCAGTAAGAGGGAGGCAGAGGCAGGACAGAGCTTAAGAGCACAGACTCTTGAGTTGCAAAGGGCTAAATCTGAACCCCAGTTCAGCCATTTCCTTGCTGTAAGACCTGAGGCAGGTCACCCGTCCCTCAGGGTTATTGTGAGGGTCCAATGAGACGATGCGTGTAAACCGTTTCTACAGAGCCCGCACAGTAAGCATAACCTTAAAAAATGTGCACTATATGGCAGCAAACCCGTTGCAAAAAAGCCATAAACTACTTTTAAAACTTCTCCACAGCGGGACCGATTTCAAATTATCATGGGAGAGGGCAAAGAAGTGATTCAACACAGTGCACCAAGGCCTACCAGGGGTGGAAAGCAGTGGTCACTACCCCCCACTGCATACACAGCTACAATTCATTGGGCATAACTGTCCTTTTTAAATACAGCTTCCGCCCGGCCGGTGTGGCTCAGTGGCTGAGCGTTGATCTAATCACATGCCTGGATTACGGACTTGATCCCCAGTAGGGGTCGTGCAGGAGGCAACCAATCAATGATTCTCTCTCATTGATGTCTCTATCTCCCTCCCTCTCTGAAACTAATAAAAATATATTTAATACTAAAGGCAAAAAAAAAATTGCACTATTTACTGTTACGTTACGAAGTGGTCAGCAAGGACTGAGGTAATGCAGGTTTTGGAGGAAGCCGCTGCGGTCTCTCCGGGAAAGCTGTGGTCATGGATGATTGTCACCTTGCCACTGTGACGGTGATTGAGGACTCTGAATGCCAAACCTCGTCCCTAGGGTTTGTGACCTAGTAGATCAGCTAGCACTGCTCTTTCCCTTCTAGCCTGTGACTGTGACCCCCGGGGTATTGAGACGCCGCAGTGTGACCAGTCCACCGGCCAGTGTGTCTGCGTCGAGGGTGTCGAGGGTCCGCGCTGTGACAAGTGCACTCGAGGGTACTCGGGGGTCTTCCCTGACTGCACACCCTGCCACCAGTGCTTTGCTGTTTGGGACGTGATCATCGCTGAGTTGACCAACAGGACCCAGAAGTTCCTGGAGAAAGCCAAGGCCTTGAAGATCAGTGGTGTGATCGGGCCTTACCAGGAGACTGTGGACTCGGTGGAGAAGAAAGTCAATGAGATCAGAGACATCCTGGCCCAGAACCCAGCTGCGGAGCCGCTGAAAAACATTGGCAGTCTCTTTGAGGAAGCAGAGTAAGTAGTGAATGAGCGTGCGTGAGAGGTCAGTGTTGTTTCAGAGCCGGCTTGGCGGGGGGCTTCCATCACAGGCATGGCTAGTCCTGTGAGTGAAAGCAGATGCTGGGCCACTCATTTCCCGGCAGTCTCTTCTCTGGGCCTTGGGTGTGTGTGTGTTGGCACATCACTGGGGACCCAAACTGTGGAAGCTGCAGTATAGAACGTGCACGTGATACTCAGCGTTCCTCCTTGCAAATGGTGCTCTCAGGCAGCTGCACGGCAAGAACACTGGTTTCGGAGACAGAGGACCCCTGAGGAGTCAGCCCGGTTACTTGCCAGGCTGTGAATTTGAATGACTCACCTATTCCTGAGCTGCTTTTCTCCCCTGTGGAGGAGGGAAGAATAATGTTTGCCTTTTCCTTTCAGAGTAGCAAAAAGAGTGATCTCTGAAATGGTTAATGTAATTGCAGAAATCATTATAAATATACATCGTTTTATATGTTTTGCAACTACCAGGGAAATTCCATTACCACAGATAAGACTGTTATTTCCGCTGCTCAGCCTTTGGTCCCCTGGAACAGTGCTTCATTCATCCACTTATAACAATTCCCTGCAGTGAAAGATCCTCCTCGTAGCCCTCTCTGGGTAATCACCTCTCTGACGGGAGAGTTTATTTTGCCGGTGGAAGCGGAGAGCTGAGTGGTGCCAACTCCGCAGGGTCCATGCTTCTCCTCGCCATCTCTCTCCTGCTCTGAAACGTTCCAACTACCTTTGCCAAAAAGGACCCCCGAAACCAGCATGATAAGATCTAGGCTGAGGAACAAAACAGGAAAGGGCAGGAAGCATTTGTTTCCCCAAATGCTGTTTTGTTTTACTGCGGATTTCACCATTTGGTGTGAGCAAAGGGAATGTTTCATAGCTAAATCCTATACATTGAAGTGATTTTACATTAGGACAAAACGACAGTAACATTTTTTTTATGGGACTTTAATCAGCATCTCTAAGAAGCCAGATGGACTTTTCTTCTCGACGCTACCTGTGAGTAGCAGGCAGGGAAAGCTGACGTTAGCTCATGTACCTGGTAGGAGGTCCTTCCTAGGCCTTCTACATTCAAAGTCCCTTGATGTCAAACCTCAGGTTTTGTGTCCAAGACCATGTGGTTGACCGGGCTTTAGGAAATGTCCATGTGGGGCGATAATGCCTTTACTGAGGAATTTTGCCTCGTGAAAAGGCTGGAGCGGCCCAGCCTCCTAACGTAGCGATGGGTTTTAGAAGGCTGTGTGCTGAGTGGGAGCCCATTTAGGAAATGATTCTTGGCCTTGGTCTCATGCAGCTAAGGAAGAACGAAAAACTGTGGTGCCCTTCAGCCTGTCGGAGGAGTTTTACATTCCCGGAGCAGCTGTTTTACCCTCACTAGTCAATTCACAGATAGATTGTAAGCACCTCGGGGAAACTGGGTTCATGAATCTTTTCTCAACGCAATATACAAGGATGCAAGTTTCAGGTTCCAAAGTGGCATTATTTAAAAATGTGCAATGTTAGATTTTTAATTGTCACATTGTATGAGACTTACGAAATGAAAGCCTTCTGCCCATCAGCAGATTGGTGGTAAGAGCAAAGACTGAAAAACTATAATAGCCTGCGGAAAACAATCATTGGGCTTATAAAATGTAATTGAACCTAACAAATCCTTTTAAGTGCTTTTTCTCTGAATTGGGCCATGGCATCTCAGCCTTAAATTCCATTATTTTCTAATGGCCCCCAACCTTTCAGCATCTCTACATGTTCCCAGTTTTTTACGCTATTATATCCCTGAAAAGACAATTATATTCAATTGGTGACTCAGTAATACCCAGAGCTAAGCTCGTCTCCTCAGAGATTACTTTTTTTGTGATGTATGTGCACGTACATTGTATATATAAGTAGGTGCCTCAAGTACAGCTTTGAAGATATGAAGATACAGAACGAAGTGCAGTTGGGTTTAGATCCCAGTGAAATGCTGTGAGAGCTAAGTGTTGATCATATTTCATTCTCCGTAGATACTACCTTCTTTCTCCTGTCAAATGAAAGGGTTGCTTGTTGGTGGAAGGAGGAGGCTCCTTCGCTGGGCCCTTGCCTAAGGGGGGACCGTGTGGAAGGCAGGATGGCTCCTGCCGACTCCCTGCGGGCTCTGGGGCTTTTGCCCTGCGTGTCCCATCTTGAAGAAGGTCCCTGAAGTTGGATCAGAGCATTTCCGGTGGTTGGCTGGGAGGCATACTTCTACGCTTGGAGTCCCTTAGTCTCTCGAGTTTGAGAGACTGTAAGGACTTGAAGCTGCTCACGTACTGAACTGGAACTCCGCACCCTGGGCACGTGCTCATGTTACAGCAGAGGTTCGGCATCCTTCACATGGCCCACCCGCCACCGCACAGCTCGGCGGTGCTTCTGTTTTCCTTCAAAGTCCTTGAAGAAAGAAAACTGTTGGATGTCATACAGTCTCTTAACGATAAGGGGAATAAAACCAGAATTTAGAATTACCGACTCCTGACCTGGTTTTGAAATCACCGTATTAGAAAATGTAAAAAGGTTTATTTTACTTGGATAAACTTACCCTTCTCTTTGCAGGAAACTAACCAAAGATGTTACGGAAAAGATGGCTCAAGTTGAAGTGAAATTATCTGACATAGATTCACAAAGAAACAGCACAGCCCAAGAACTGGACTCTCTCCAGGCCGAAGCAGAGAGCCTGGACACCACGGTGAAAGAACTTGCTGAGCAACTGGAATTCATCAAAAACTCAGATATTCGAGGTGAGAGTTTTCCGTGCAAGCACTCAATCCTGGACATGGATTTAACCCTCTGTGCAACCTTTCATACAGTACTTCCAGAAAAAAAAAAAAATTAAGTGCCTTCTAACAATGTTAAAGCTTTTCCTCATTGTCTCTGAACCAAATGAGGACTGAAGTCTCCATTTTACAAACGTGGGACCTGGGCCACAGAGAGGCTGAGGCCCAGCAGAGGTCCCAGGGAGTAGCAGCGGTCGCTTCATTAGAATGGCATTTGTTTCCTGATTTTTTTCAGTTAGTGGTTTAACCTCCTGGGCTTCTCTTGGAAAGAGGCTCTTGAGTAGTTAAGAAATTAAGTTGATACTTCTGCTAACCCTTTTACATTTAAGAATGTTGGTTAGTCAGGAAATAATTTTGGCCAGTCCTTCATTTACTGTTATCATAGTATGGTCTAAATAGGACCACCCCCCAAAAAGCAAAAGGAAGTAGAACTATGTCAAGTCACACCATCCATGCTGTTTAATACGTGATCACTTATTGTTGGGCTAGGTCCTTAAAGCCAAGACAGCCACGCTGCTTTATGTATACAGGACTAGCCCTGCGAGTGCATCTAGTGACTGAGAAAGGGGGGAATTAGTTGGAAACGTAATCTGCAGGCTGCCTGACGCCAGCTGTTTAGAAAGAACTGGATGCTTGCCTGTATAGAAGCAATTCAGCAGGGTGACTTAATTTTTCGTTCAGATGTTCAGCGTCCTCCAGAGCCAGAGTAGGAGGCTTAATGGGACGGTCTATTCATTGACCATGACAGAAAAGTTATCTTTCTCAATGAAGATTTTATTTCTTGCATTTTAAAACAAACCATACAGTACCTTTAGGCTGGAAGACACCACAGATAGACATTGCTTAATGAGATTGAGTACAAGGGGATTCACTGTGGGCAATTTGATTTCGTGCCCTAGGTGCCCTGGATAGCATCACCAAGTATTTCCAGATGTCCCTAGAGGCAGAGAAGAGGGTGAATGCCTCCACCACAGACCCCAACAGCACGGTGGAGCAGTCGGAGCTCACCAGAGAAAGCGTGGAACACTTGATGATGGAGCAGGAGTCCCAGTTCCGGGAAAAACAAGAGGAGCAGGCCCGTCTTCTGGACGAACTGGCAGGCAAACTGCAAAGTCTAGACCTTTCAGCCGCTGCCGAAATGGTAAGGGTTAGAGAGCTTGGCCTCAAAGCTGTGGTGCTAGAGGAGGAAAAAAACACCCTGCTTAGTCTTTAATATTGTTCACTTTGCAAATGAACCAGGAGTGGTCCCATCTCTGAACACCAATGTGGGGTACCATGACTGAACCAGATTAAAAACAAGGCTCTGTGCTTCGAATCTTCCTTCTCTCCAGGGGGTCTCTCTGTGGAACACCCAGAGAACCATGCCTGCTCTCACGTACTGTGACTTATTTAAACTTGATCCTTTTCATGCTGTGGACATTTCTTTTTTACTTGGTTCTGATTTGAAGTGCAAACTCCATTTTGGTAGAGCAATTCAGAATCATTCTGGGATTTCCTAAAAAAAAAAAAAAAAAAAAATTAGAAAGAGCTAAAGAATTTTTTCCATGGGTGTTCATTAAAATGTTCCTTTGTTCCAGTAACTTTACCTGGTGAAGATTAACCCTGAGACCCGCCTAGAAAGATTGCATTTTCCAGAAGCTTTTAAACAGTAACTCTGGAGCCAAATGAAATTGAGTAGTAACTTTGATGAAAATCAGGCTGAAGGCCAAAAAAAGCCAAAGGGAGCCTGTTTCTTCCTCTTGATTCCTTATTGTTTTTCATGGATGAGTAGCTATCAGAGAATTTAGAGGGTACTTTCTTTACAGACTTTTATTTCATAAGGCTTATGCTCTCTTAGCTTAGAAATAGGGTCAGTGAAAAGAGGAAGGTAAGTGCCTAGAAAACTGTGAGAGCTCAGACCATTTGTTTTGTCTTAGTGATGGTCCCCTTTCCTCCCTGCCTGTCCTCACCGTCCCCCCGTTTCTCTGAAATGGACAAAAACACTGTCTGTGCTGTAGTGTGACTAATTTAATTGATGCCTAGAATATATACTCATTATTTCATCTAGTGGAAACAGGGAGTAAGTAATCCTGTCACTATTTAATAGAAAATGGAGGCCTAGAGCAATGTGTAAATTGCACCTAGTGGGAGACAGTTGTTATACGTAAGCATGAAATGCCAGTTCTTTCGATCTTCTTTGCTTTCAGTATTCCTTACAAATTCTAATAAAAACCCAGTAATCACAAAAAATCCGCAAACTAAAATGGAAAGCAGCTAAGCATGCTAAAGGATGTTTGCTTTGCATCAGAGAAAATCTTGGGAGTGGGTGGCGGTGGCAGGCTCCTCTGGCCATCTGAATGGGCACCCTTCCCTGTGCTTGCTTTTCCATGTGATGAGCTAGCTACCTAGGGATTAGCCAACCTCTTCTGGTCTCTCATGGTATGTGTTGATCTTAGTTAATTATTCTATGAGAACTCCATACTGCCACTTCCTGTCCAGGGAGATTTTTGTCCCTTTGTGTTTTTTCATGTGCCTTCAATTCTTTGTCTTTGTGTCTATTTAGCTAGACCCGTGCTGGTTTTTCCATGCCTACCCTGTCTCTTGAAATAAAACAGATCTAATGTGCTGTCAGATTGTTTTTAGAAAGCATCCCTGAGATCTTATGCTGCTCTGATTAAAGCTGTGCTCTGTAGCACACAGAATAAATTTTATTTCTGCAGTTTTTTATGTACTGTAAACCAGATACATGAAAGATTTGAGAGACAATGGGGTTGTAATTATCACAAAATTATTAGTCTAAAGAGTTGATTTTATTTATTAAAAAAACTACTTTTTTACTTCTTAAAAAGAATACTTTCTGCCCTGGGCAGTGTGGCTCAGTTGGTTGGAGCGTCCTCCCATACACTGAAAGGTCACGGGTTTGATTCCCAGTCAGGGCACATACCTAGGTTGCAGGTTCAATTCCCTGTGAAGGTGTGTATGAGAGACAACTGAAACATTAGTTTCCCATATCAACGTTTCTCTCCGACTCCTCTCTCTCACCTCCCCTCTATCTTTAAAATCAATTTCCTTGTTTGGGAATATTCTGTTAACTGCTTTTCCCTGCAGTAAATCTTTTGCTTCTTTTTAGTACAAGCATTTTCTACGAAAGCTCTAAATACAATGTTCTTCCTGCTCAGCCCTTTACATCATACAGCAAACTTGTAATTTACCAAGTTGCCATGTCTATGCCATGACCAAGCTCTGATCTTTGGAGATTTTTGGTAGATAAGGAAGGAGGAAAGTCTATGGAGTGTTGCTTATTTGGAAAAGTTACATCCATCTTGGTTTCTACTGTTTTCTCTCCCTCTCACATCTGGAATGTTCCCCCATGTCCCCTGCTCAAATCCCACCAGCCAATATCCTTCCCCAACCACAACTACTATAGTCCTCAGTAGTCTCTCTTCTGTCTGCTGTCCTTCATACTTAACTACATCTGACCTATTCTTGGCTGCTTTATGATCCTGTCTTCCTAACTAGATGAGAAGCTACTAAAAGGCCAGGTAACAGGCCTTTTGTGTCAACCTATTCACCAGGACTAACATGGCACGAGTTTACAGAAGGTTCTCAATACCTGGGTTTTTGTGTGCTCTTTTTTAATCAAACTAGTTAGAGTACAGGGGTAGCATTCCGTGGCTCTCGGATTGGCGGGATTCAGTCTGAGCAGATAATGTTTGCACCCTGCACAGAGCCCAGCTGGTATTCCAGTTCATTAGGGCAGAAGGTACTGATGAGGGTTGTAAATTTTTGTTGTTTCCTTGCAGGAAAAAGCAGGTTAGTTTATTCCCTAAACTCTGTTCCTCTCTCCATCCTGCACCCTTGCTGAGGACCACCTACACACTCTCCGGGGCCACCCAGGCCCTGCCCAGCTGTTACGCTGCAGCACACTCACTGTCTGAGCCTCACTCTCTTGGCTTGTTGCAGACCTGTGGCACGCCTCCAGGGGCCTCCTGCTCCGAGACGGAATGTGGTGGCCCCAACTGCAGAACTGACGAAGGACAGAAGAAGTGTGGGGGGCCTGGCTGTGGTGGTCTGGTCACTGCTGCGCACAGCGCCTGGCAGAAGGCCATGGACTTTGACCGAGACATCCTGAGTGCCCTGGCTGAGGTGGAACAGCTCTCCAAGATGGTAATTCAGCGGACAGCCTCAGTCTTTACTGTTTGTTTGCTTTCAATGTGGAGTGGAAGGTCTGAAAAGGAGAAACCAATTCAAAGTGCTGACTATTAAAAAAAAAAAAAAGGGCATTTCACACCACGTATGAAAGTGCAAGTTTTTGCGAGATCAGGGAAATAGATGTTTAAGAATTTGCTTTCTTCTCATGACAATAATTTGAGATAACCATGTTACTTACCATGGGTGCAGGGTTATGAATACATCCAGCTGCACTACAAAAATTCTCTACTAAGCAACCAAGCATTTATTCTTCTAAAGTGATACATGAAGTCTTAAGTTCATATCAACTGAAGTATGTATGTGGGTACCTGAGAAAAAGACTAAGGAACATTTATAGGCCACCAAATGTTTTGAAGGAGTTAAAAACAACTAGGAAAAAATTCATATGCTGGCCCTACCTACATGAGAATACTATATAGGAATCTTATACTGAATACTTTCAGTCTATAAAGGAATATAATACGGTTAAATGGGAGATACTTGTTTCAAAAAGTCATGATTCCAAATGCTAGTTTTTCAACATCATTTTTTGGACCATTTATAAAATTCTGGTCTGCTTAGAAAGAATGAAGTTGTTCCCTGGGTAATTTATTCCTCATGTTTAGGTCTCTGAAGCAAAACTAAGGGCAGATGAGGCAAAACAGAATGCTCAAGATGTTCTGTTGAAAACCAATGCTACCAAAGAAAAAGTGGACCAGAGCAATGAGGACCTGCGAAACCTGATCAAGCAGATCAGAGACTTTTTGATGCGTAAGGAATTTTTTCATTTTACTTTTAGATATTTCTTCCTATCTTGGAATATAAAAGTATTCTATAAGAGTATGTGTTTGGGAGGCCGTAATTCAAATCTGCAGAGAAAATCAGTTTCTGGTGGGAAATAAAATAACATTTCCAAATTTAAAAATGTTTCCATTTCTTAAGTTTATCTATGTGTATGTCAATAATCTTGTCTGATTTTAGGCAGATACAGACACACCTGATACCCAAGTAGCAAATCAAAAAGTGAGAGCAAATCATATACTGTGAGAACTGAATTTGAAAATTGTTAGAGATTACATATAATGTTGTTAGAACCTTAACTTGAAATAGAGTTTATTTTGGCATTGCCCCCAAAGCCTTGTAATGCTTTTATTTACAGGATATTAGACCTATGGTTAGACAGTTCTGTACCTTAAGTGTTTTGTAAAGAAAATCTCTAGAATTTGTGGTCTAGCACATAAGTATTGCTGTCAATTTGAGGGTTATCAGTAAGTATAGTTTTGGCTACAAGTTACAGAAAACTCTCAACGGAAATGGACTTAATAAAAAAGATGTATAACATAACTTCAATAGTAGGATAGCTCTATGGTTCAAAGACCCGTGTACTTTTCATCTTTTCTGCTCTACCATTTTAAGCACATCAGCTTTGTTCTCAGCCTCACTGCTCCTGGTTACAAGGTGGCTGCCAAAGTTCCAGACTTCATATAAAGACACTGTGATATCTAATGGAAGACAAGACCACCTGTCCCTTTGTAGCATCTTTTTTAAAGGAATGAAGTATTCACCAGAACCCTCTGAGCATTATCTCCATAAATCTCACTGGCCAGAAATGAGTCCCATGCATAACTGTCACTGGCAAATGGAATGGAACTACCATATTTGTTTGGCAGACTCATTAGAATTTCTGTGAACATGGCTCACTCATGGGGTTGCCAGGCGTTGGAACCAATTGAAGGGCACAAAACACACACAATCAGGATTTAATAACTCTGACTTGATAAGCTTACCTTACCTTAGAGGTATCTTAGGGGTCCATTTTTACGTTGAGTTTTTTAGAAGGGTTAAAAACTAATGACATACTTAAAGCTTAACCTGTTGTTGTTTTTACCTCTTTTCACATTTGACATTTGAAATTCCTTGGCTTCTGATAGATATGCCAGCCTGATTCTCTTGCTTCTTTGTCCGGATTTTTTTCTTTCTGTAGTTTCCTAAATCCACATCACTTACAAGGAATATCAACTATTTATATTTGCATTTATAGTAGTTTCCTACCTAATCTTTCAACCTCAATTGAAATTTTTCATTGCCTGTTAGGATCAAGTCCCAGCTTTCTACCCTGACCTCTGTATCTTCTACAATCTTAATCATTCATGCCACTCAACTTTCACATATCACTCTGCCCACAGTCTCTCCATTCAAAGATGTCGTTTCTTCTTTCAAATACTGTTATCCTCCAAAACCTGATGGGCTCCTCAATCTCCACAAAGACCTCCCTGACTCCCAGACCGCAGCACATCCGTTATCCTTTGTTGTCTGCATTACTTTCTCACCTGTACAGATCTGATCTCCCTACACAAAGAGATTATAAAATCTTAAACAGGAAGTTTTGTCTTGGTGAAACCACGCTGTGCTAGTACCATAGTAGATGACCATTAAGTGGTTGAATAAGTGAACCATATATGATTTTCACCTCTTTACGGGAACATCTTTGCTTTTAACAGAGGATGGTGCTGATTTGGACAGCATTGAAGCAGTTGCTAATGAAGTATTGAAAATGGAAATGCCTAGCACCCCAGAGCAGCTACAGAACTTGACTGAAGATATTCGTGAACGAGTTGAAAGCCTTTCTCAAGTGGAGGTTATTCTACAGCAAAGTGCTGCTGACGTTGCCAGGGCTGAGATGCTGCTAGAAGAAGCTAAAAGAGCCAGGTATCTGAAGACACTAACAGCATTTGGGGCAGCTTATTCTGTGTATCTAGGCTGGAGTAAAAAAAGTAATTAACCAACAGAAATTTCTGAGTCTCTCTGGGTCATTTCAGGAAGGCTGCTCTTTAAATGTTTTTTTCTGAAAGAAGTACTCTTTTCATGTTCACATATAATACACTGTCTCATTCTTTTACTCAGCAAAAGTGCAACAAGTGTTAAAGTCACTGCAGACATGGTAAAGGAAGCTCTGGAAGAAGCAGAAAAGGCCCAGATCGCAGCAGAGAAGGCAATTAAACAAGCAGATGAAGACATCCAAGGAACCCAGAACCTGCTAACTTCGGTGAGATATTACAGTCATTATTATATGTAGGTGAAAGCACTCGCATGTACTCTTTTATCCGAAAGGGCCTTTGATACTTAGGAAATCCTTATAACTGAACATTAAGGATTCCTTTCACTTGAATAAAAATCTAAACTATTTCCTTAGCACAGATGCTAACAGTGACGTGTTTTCAAGGACGAAAAAGGACTCTGACAACACTGGAACATTAAGCCCCCCTTCATATTCATCATATTCACTTCCCCAAAAAGCTTAAAATAAGTTTCCTGTTCCTTCAAGAGATCCCATAGAGTCCATTCTGCAGTATGAAGTATGGTATTAATTTCAAGGTCCATTGTTAGAAAACCCCTGCTATTATGAAGCAGCCCCAAAGCAACTACATGGTTAACACCAGTGTCTTAAGATTTATGAGGTGATCATTAGTAAAATTCTACTAGTTTTGAAAAGGACTGGAAAGCAACAAAGTGTCAAAATGACAGTTTCCAATGTCCATTCTAGAGGAACCTAATAGAGATCTTAACAGCTAAACAATCTTGTGTTCAAAATGCATGGGAAACATGTTTTATAAGTAAAACTAGAGCCCTGGGGCCCGAAATTCATGGGGGGGGGGGTCCCTCAGCCTCCCTCAGCCTGGCCTGTGCCCTCTCCCTCTTGCAGTCCGGGACCCTGCGGGGGGATCGGGCC